CTCTTCGAATCTAGTCTAGTCTAGTCTGGTCTAGTCTCATACAGTTCGATCTTTCGGATCTGGTGACTACGGTAGGTAGGTGATGAAACTACCTACAGTACCTACTTACTTACTTACTTGCTTACTTACTTACTTACTTACTTACTTACTTACTTACTTACTACTACTTACTTACTACTACCTACTACTACCTACTACTATCTACTACTACCTACTACTACCTACTACTAGCGTCGAGGTCTGGTGCCGTGGCCGGTATCGGAATGAGGGTGGTGGTGGTGGTGAAGAGGGCGGTGGTGAAGAGGGCGGTAGTGGTGGGTACCGTCAAGAGGGGGCTTCAGGAAGGAAGAACCTAATCCGGAATAGAGAAGAGGGATTTTGAATTTCAATACAGTCGGTTTGGATTTAGGAATTGGACGGGCAGACGGGCATCAAGGCTAAGATCCACTGTCTGTGCATTGATCAAACTATCGAGAACTCCCAGTGAATTCCGGTGCAAGTCAATTTCCTCCCGTTCCGCTTCGCTAGACGCCAATGAAGTCCAAACTCTAGGCGCAAGTTCCCCAGAACACCATCTTGAGACCCACACGCAAGAACCAACGCTCGGTACAACGCCCGCCCAGCGTGCATGGTTACAACTCCCAATCTCGCCATGTCCAGCCATCGTCAATACCGCAGGGCGCAGCTCGGAGACCCTTCAATCTTTGCTTTCAGTTCGTAGTGCTGCCACCGATCTGGTTGCCGTTGCCGTTGCATTTGCGGGAGGCGGAGGCGCAGAGGCTTCCGAGATAGACTCGGAACGCAGTAACTGCGATGGGACGGCTGGCTCGTGAGTGATCGACGAATACTGGTGCGTTTCATTTATTTGGCGCTCTAAGGAAAGTGTGAGCGACTACCCTTCGGGTCTTCTTTCGGCACAAGACTTACCCAGCTCTCGGATTCTCTGTCGTAACATCTGATTCTCTCTCACCATCATCTGCGTCTCGGCTTGATAGAAAGCGCTCTCGTCACGTCCAGCCAGGTTCCAATTCTCCCCGCCCTCCCCACTAATCGAGGTTGATCTTAGTCTTGGAGATGCGGTACGACTAGGTGTTCTCGATCGTCTGTGCTGAAGGTCGGCGCGAGCAAGGTCGAATGAGCTTCGCGGGTGAAGGGAAGCGGTTGGCGAACGGGGCGTGGACATATTTGAAAGTGGCACATTCGGGTTGGAGAAGGACATTGAGTGTTCTGAAGTCGGTGTAGAATCGTCGATGGCCGGCGGTGTGGTGTGAGTTTGTCCTCTCTCGGCCTGAAGCTGATTGAGTTGTTGCTGCTGCGAACGAATCATCTGTAGCAGGCGGTTCTGAGTGGCTAGTTAGCGACTGCTTAGAATGCAACTTGGCTAGCTTCCTAGCCGTCCCTGAAACTTCCAGCACTTCTCGGCCTTATATCACCAGAGGATGGATCCTCGCCCGTCGCAGTACCAGTCCCAATGTCTGCATTGAGCTTCTGGGAACATGGCTTACCACTTGAGCTTCTTGCTCCTGCTCTAACTCCTGGTGTATCTCTCCAAGACTCGGCGCACGGAAGTGATAAGGGTCGCTGGTGCGCATGACAGGCGAGTCTGCGAAAGATTGTGGACTGGATGTTCGGTGCTGAGGATCGTGGATCATCTCGCCGGGCGAGGGTAGTGAGGGGTCGTTAAGTTGCAGGTTCATCAGAACAGTGGAGCGTCTTCTGCCGGCATGGGATGCTTGTCTATTTCTTGTGGTGGAGCTGCCAGAAGAGCCTGTCTACCGCATTAGCCAATCTGAATCGCATTTTCAGAAGGTTGGATTTTCCCAATGTGCGGCGATTGAGTGAAAGCGACGTGTGGCAGGATCTCCAAGTCACTCAACCTTGAGGTTACTTTGTTGGGTGCGGGGTCCCCAGAGGCCAGGTTCCCCCCACCCATCTAGGTAGGGCTGAGAAGAGGATATTCGTATCTGTGCTTACGTCTTGAGTCTTCCTGTTGTAGTCCAGCATTGACAGCTGCCGCTGCTTGAAGGGAGGTAGAGGCGGATCGTGAGGATGGAGAAGGGCTTTGGCCGCGGAGGGCAGCGGCTTCCCCGGAGTTTGAGAGGGTTCGTGCCATGCTTGACGATCCCGAAAGAGAGAGTGATCGAGACGGAGGGAGCGAGTTCAGGTCGGGAGCCATTTGAGCTCTGAGGTATGGGCCGGGCTGCGATGGATGTGGATGTGGAAGTGGATGCGGATGCGGATGCGGATGTCGTGGTGGGTGAATGGATGGTATCGGGATCCAGAGGGGCAGAGGAGCAGAGGAGCAGAGGAGCAGAGGAGCAGAGGAGCAGAAAGGAAACCTGGCGTGAATGATGGGGAATGATGGGGAATGATGGGGAATGAATGTAATACCGCCCACGATCCCGAACATGCACAATGAGGGTGTGGATGTTGCAGTGTAGGGTAAGGAAAGGAATGTACAGAGGTGAGGAAGTCTGCTATCTGATATCTGATATCTGATATCTGATGGCGATGATGTTGTGCCGGCCTGGTGGTGACGGTCCAGGGTCCCAGTCATTGTCTTGGTGGAGCTAAGCCGAACGCGACCAAGTCCATGTTCCCCGGATTCCAACTTACGTAGTACTTACGGATATTTTCCAGCAGCAAGCAAACTTGAACTCATAAAAAATCTACATTCCAGCAACCCCATCGCAAAACTCTCTCGGCTTTTCCGCCGCACTCTGTCGGTTTCCCGCAATCGAATGGTCGTCGAGGGCAAACATTAATGAGGATGAGGATGAGGATGAGGAGCCAAGAGGACATGTACAGTCAGTAGGTGTACCGGTATTCATGTTCTTTCGCTTTAAGCTTTGGAGTACTAACTACCAGTAGCGAGGATCAAGAGACCGTGGGCATATAACCAAGCCTCAGTACCGTCAGGACATCCTACGCTGATTGATTCATTGTTCGACCTCTGTGAGCCTTTGGATGGATGGCCTACCGGTACATGTACTACTACGTACCTGATGTTCTAATTGCCAGTACCGGTACGGACATCCATGATGCGAGCTGGCTGAGATCCTTGCCGTTGAGTGTCGATCACATGGCAAGCCCGGTACTTGGTTGGCTACGTTTGCCCATCAGCGGAGCAGCAAAAATCTTGAATCGCCAAGACTTCCAAGGCGTTACAATGCCAAACTTTACAGTAACAGCACGCTGCTAGAAACTGCTTTGTACGGAAGTACTGGTCTTTGTCGCGGGCTTCTGTCAATGACTTCCATAGTCACAGCCAATCGAATGTTTATACGACCAATACTCTCTCTGGAACCTCGAGCATGGAAGATAGATCTCCTTGGCAGAGTTTGCACCATCGACCGCTTCGCCGCTAAGATCTAAAAACCAAAACCAACAGCTCATATCGACAAAAAAAAAAGAAAAAAAGAAAAAAAAAGGAAGAAAAAAAAAATAAGAAAAAAAAAAGGAAAAAGTTTCCGATCCCGGCCTCCGCCTCGGCAGCACAGACAATGCCATTCATTACCTTGAGACAGCGCATCCTAGTTCATAAAGCTATTGCACCGGAAACTTCACTGGCGACTGTGGCTGGCTTCTACAACTAGCACCACAAGTTATTCTGGCCAGTTTGATTTCGACGGACGGATCTGGAGCATCTCGTCAATAGACGAAGACGTGCAGCAGTGCAAACCTTGATTCTACAGACGAAAATGATCTTGGCAAGCCGTGCACCCGCAATCGCCAATTTGCTGAGGTGCACTTACTACTGGCTGGCTGTTGAGATGTACTCTGTAAGTACGGAGTACCTACCGGTACCGTATGTGCATCGACGTGTACTCCGTACAGAGCGGAGTACCGGCCCCTCCAAGGCTCAGGGGTCTGGCTCAGCCAAAACTTCTCTTTGCTTTTCTCGCCGTAGAAAGACCCGTGCGTGAGTAACTAATTACAAGCTGTCGCCCATGGAGCTTCCCATAGCTGTTGTTGCCAATGTCTACCTACTTTCCTGGCTCACCCAGCTCTATTGCTGCTTTCAATGTCTACATCCACCCCTCCATACCTGCATGTCCTCGATACTCGACATATTCACCTCTCCCTAGACCCGTCGATTCGTTTCCCCAGCCTTTTTTCCCACTCCCATGGTTAGCCCCCAAGAAACGGTTGAACTCCCTTATTATTCCCATCTACTTCTACAACCGTTGAACGACTGTTTACACGCACTCTGACCTCTCGGCGGTCCTGCCAGCTAGGCATCCATTGGGCCTGGCAAGAGGCTGAGACGACTTGTGGGGTACAGATCAGCCAACTGCCAACCCCTTCCTCAAGTTGAAACATATCCTGCAGCCCTCGAATACGGAACTTCAATCTTCTCAGCCGCGGGATTTTGAGTGGGGGCTATTCAAGATCATAATTCAGAGACCCTTGTGCCTGTTCAACAGATCCAGTCTGTCGAGGAAAATAATAGTTGGCATCAGTTATCGTTTGGACAATGGGAGAAACCAGTAAAAATCATGCCTCGACCCTGTCAAGTAGTATATCAAAGGTCAAATTGAATCCGGCTTCGACTTCGACTTCAACCCCCAGACGTCGAGCACGCCAGCCAAGAATAAACCTTTCAACCGGAGACATTGCAAGTCGCGTCCCTCCTCGCCAGCCGAAAGTAAACAGGAAGGATGAAAGAGAGTCCAAGGGTGGACTGCGGGAAATATTCACCCGGAACAAGGTTCAGAAAGAAAAGAGTCAAATATTGCCTGTGGCTGAAGAAACTCCGCGGTCTGGTATTTTTGAAAGATCGACGAAAGCTATCGCGGAAGCAAAATTGCGGCGCGGCCTCTCAATTAAAAAGCTCCAAAGCAGGACTGGAGCAGAATCTACCGTCTCCGCAACTCCTGTACCCGCTACTACCGGTCAACCAACTTCCAGGCCATCACGTTTGACTCTGAGGACAAGATCTGTGATGGAGGTGAAGACGCCGAGCAAATCCAGTTCTGCGGGTCACAAATCGTCAAAATATGGCACCAAATATCCTCCACGACTGCCGACGAGGACTTCTCCAGCCTGGGATCCACCACCTCTCTTCCAAGCCTACCCTCAAGCTGTTAAGCATGCTCAATTGTCCGCTATTTCACTCTCTACCGATGCTATACTGGGGTTGAGGAGCCACCACAAGAGAAACAACAGACTCACGCGTGATTTGGCAAAGACGACTTCGAATGAGCCATCGAGAACAGCGGCGAGAAAGACGGAGAAAGCAACTAGCAAGCATCGAAATCAACTCTCTGATGCAATCTCGAAAGCAGAATGGACACAGAAGATCTTTGTCCTGGTGACTTCGGGATATCTAGTTCAGTACTCTGGCGATGGGTCGTTTGATAGATTGCCTGAGAAGATGATGCAGCTAGGGAAAGACTCGGGTAGGTGCTGAGACAAATTCCTGTCGATAATTCACTGACCAACAATCAGTTGCATTTGCGAGCGATGTGATACCCGGAAAGCACTGGGTTCTGCAAATTTCTCAGGCAATGGACTCTGATGGTACTCCAACATCGGCCCAGAGATCTTTGTTGTCGCGTCTCACATTCAGAAGGGCCGATTACAAGAGGGCAGTCACAAGCATGCTCTTAGTCCTGGACAGTGCCGAAGATATGCATTCATGGCTCGCACTACTTCGAAGAGAAATTGAATCACTAGGTGGCAAGAAACACGGGAACGAAACGGGGAAGCCAACGGCAGACGACAGAGTGATGCAGTTGAGGGCGCAACCAAGCCACCGATATCTCACCCAACAGAATCCAGATCAAATTTCTGACCCACCTACGCCTCACAGCCAGACACCTAACCCTCAGCCTTGGGACAAGGACAGAGATGATGAGCTGCAATCGAAATATGAAGATGCTGCTTCCACGCTGAAAGACTCTCTATTCTCATCAGCCCGTCCGTCCACTGGCCACATGTCAGTTTCGGGAAGCGTCACATCCAGTGATGTGAGGGATAGCACAACCAGACTATCTTACATGTCCTCCGGCCAACAAACATTGGTGACATCTCAAAGTTCCACGCCCGCAACTTCGCCCATTCGCGAGAGATCAAGCTTCGACAAAATCATTTCATCTGCAACGGCGGAAGCTCGGCCTCTAACACCAAACGCTGCCGTACTCAACGAGCGTAGAAGATCAATACGAACAGTGCAAGTCCCAGTTTCCGAGCTCCAGGCAAAACACCGTCCCTCCATCCTTGGTGGTCCGGCAGTAAGCATAGTACGAAACCGCTCTTCAAGCATAACACCTAACTTCAGTGTTCCAATCTCCTCAAGCAAGCGATATTCGACAGTCCAAAGTCCACTACTATCATCCCCCACTGCCACTGCCACTGCCATGGCCCAACCGCCCGAATCAATCCTCAAAGGCACCCTTAAAGACCCCCCAGCCGGCCTTCAAATTTCCCGCCCCCTCTCCCCCCTCAAAGATTCCCCACAGGTCCTAGAAGAGGCTGTAAACATCACCCCAACGGACATGGCCCCCTCGCCCGTCACCCACGCCAAACCTTCCGTTGACACAACCCCGCCTCGCTCTCCCGCAGCGCCCTCCCCCCAAGCCGCCGCACACCGACCAAAAAACAGGTCCAGCCTTGTCTTTCTCAGCGGCCCCGAATCGTCACTTATCAAGTTCAACAAGCCGCGTCGTTACAGTAGCGTGCAGAACCTGCGCGAAATAAGCGAGATTCAACCCCCCTTCGACTTCGGCCCTCCCCTACGTCCGGCCCCTGTGCCACATGCTCCACTGTCGACGCCGTTGCCGAGCTCGCCGTCCAGCAGTCAATCTTCAGGCATGAACTCCTCGACTATTGAGATATCGCCAACTCAAGTCCCAACAACTATCCGCCCACAAAGTAGAGCGAGGTTAGAAACTACCAGCCCAGTCCCTGCTCCCGTCTTGGGCAACACGGAAACGAAATTCGAAAGACCGAAAAGCATACGAGTCGACACCTCACTGTCCAACTTCCGTTCCTCCAGCATTAGTAGCTGTCCCCCCTCCCGATCACAAGGCTCATTCTCACCACCACCGAGCGTGCGCCCCTTTTCGGCCCAAGGCACATACCCCACCCGACCGGGAAGACACGCGACTCCACCGGCTTCGCTCATGTCCCCATTATTGCAGAGAGTCACGGAGGAAGATAAATCTGCGAAGCACCAGCGAGGTACGCCAACGCTTGTCAACGGGCCTCCTCCGGCTCCACCTCCCGAATGCGCACTCCCGCCTATACCGCTACCCGGGAGTGCAGACCCCAGAGTCCGACTGGGAGCCCGGGGCCACTGAGGGTTGGGGCTTGAGGCGAGTAGCAGCTCTATCTCAAGCACTCATGCAATTGATACCATATGCACACAGATATATGCGCACGTACGCCCGTAACTGGCAATTTCTAAGTCTTTCGGGAAACGAAATGCATAACGAATACGCGCAACGCCAGAGCAATCGCCGCATAAAACCATCTACGCGCGCACACATGCACCATCCTTATAATCCTATTCGCAGTGCTTTTTGTCGGCATCTGTTTTATTGTACCCGTAGAATCATTCAAGCGAGGGCGAATCTGGCGAGCGGAAGCGTTGACGGTATGATACCATATACACGAAGATGAAGTATGACACTGGCCCGTGCTGAGGCTAGGGACTGTAATTAGAAATGGGCTGGCTCATGGACGAAATCACAGATAGCGATCGAGAAGCGAGGAATAAACAAATATAATATATATCAAGAGGAGAAGCCATGCTTGCCTTTTGCTTTCCCTTTTCTTCCCCTCCCCGCTCCTCTCATCTCCCCTCTTCTCCTCTCCTCTCCTTCCTTCGCATCACAAATTCACCTCTAACACCGCACGCAGCTTGATTTCTTTCCCTTATGAGAAATAACCACAAGTGTCCCAGCAGCCCCTCAGGATATGCATATTCCATGCCCCCACTACCAATCTCTTGCTCCCGATAACACAATACCGTCGTCTCAAATCCCCAGCGGCCAGGCTAGCTGATCACCGTATACTCCATAGATGATAAAAAGAATGATCCTAACTGTGAGTAGAAGTATTTCCGCGCTTCGATTGAAAAATTTCGATTCGTTATGTGTGTATATAACCTCCCCTCCCCCCTCCCCCCTCCCCCTCTCTCTATCTCCGGCTCTTCGTCATTTCCTAGCTGGGTAGACATGGGATATCGCCATCCATATGCGATTGGTGATGCTAGAAAGAAAAGGAAAAAAAAAGGAAAAAAAAAGAAAGGAAAGGGGGGGTTGTTACTCACTCACTCACTCACTCACGAGCAGGTATTCCTCGTGTACGGCGTGCAAGCAAGCCATCTGCCAGAAGTAGAAGGACTCCGGGGACGATTCACAGGGGAACCGCGCGAGAGCATGAGAAGGGAGGGAGAGATGACAGTGGAGAAATCCCTTGACAGCCAGCCAGCCACTGACTGACTGACTGACTGATTGCATTCCGACAACGTTGATATCGAATTTTGGCTTTGGATCTCCTGGCTATGTTTTGGGTGGGTGGGAAGGTGCCGTGTGGGATCTTTCTCTTAGGTTCGTTCGATGCTGAAGCTTGAAAGGGGAAACGGTTACGCGGTGAAGCTCAGCCTAGAGTCGCTCGCTCGTCGGGGCTTTTTTTCTTTTGTTGAATGGCTTCGTTTCTGTCTTCGTTTGGCAAGGGGCTCTGCTTTGGGGTTGAGGCCGAGATTATATACCAGTCTTGGGCTTGTAGGACCGTAAAAGGTACAGGTGGGAATGGGGAATGGAAGGGAAGGAGGGAGGGAGATGGTGAAGATCTGGAATGGAGAGAAGTTGGTGTGTGACGTAGGTATCGAGGGGTGAATCGTAAATGCAAGGCTGGTCAAGTGATTGATTGAAGTGTGTATATAAAAGGAGTCAAATAGAGACCTCTGAGGGGTTCCTCCAAACGTACAATAGCTAGATTTCCCATAAGTGGCTTGACTGTAAAATGGCTCCGAGGAAATCAGTTCAGAAGATGGCGGTAGACGATGACGGTTTACTGATGATGTATGATTTCCTTCCAGAAGAGCCGATAGAGAAGGGGATGGACGATGATCAAGGAGCGGCGACGGTGATCTGGCGGCTGGCAGCCAGCGATCAAGCCCTCAGCTAGCATCAGCCAAGTTGAACGAAGTTCCTTCTTACACATCCAGATATTGTTTTCTGTTGGCCAACTATACAACACTACCTACCCTAGCTTTACTAGTGAGAAGTGATTAGCAGACGATGCAAAAAGATGCACAAAGATGCAAAACACAGCCGGGCGCTCGTAGCGCCCGGCTCAAAACCTAACTGAATAGGTTTTCCGGAATGGCGTCCAACCGGCGGACGCGGTAGGGCGATGGCTGAACGGTATTTAAACTGAGCGGCGTACCCCTCAGCCATCGCCCCCCCGCGCCCGCCGGTTGATGTCAAGAGAACTAGAGCCCGCTTAGATATCGCAAGTATAATTCTTCCCGGCGGCCCGGCAGGAAGCGAGTATACGTCTATGTCCATCTAGTCAAAGTGCGAGATGCGAGAGCGCGCGCATATCACACGAATAGAGATAATTTAAAGTGGAGGAGGTGGCCGGTGTTGTTAAGCGCTCGCTGCTCGCTAAGCCCTTTGCAAAGTAAACAACCAGAAATCGTGACTTTTTTGGGGGGTGGGGGGGTCTGGACGCTATTCGTTTATTGCCTCGATCTATGGTCAAACATAGCCCCTTATGGATTGGTCTCTATCCTTTAGTGAGAATAACGATGAGTGGTATCCCTGCGCAAAGTCCTGGCTGCATAGATTTGTAACGGCCCCTCCTTCTCCCAGAGTCTCGTTCGTTCTCCACTCGCTTTATCTAAAAATAACTACGCATTCAAACTCATCTGTGTAGCATTGCAGTGGGAAGTATATTCACTTTGCGGAATGGTGGCATTCGTTTCGGCGGCTTCTGCTGCAATGCGTGAGCCAGTCCTGCGAGGAAGGCGCAAACCATCTGCCTATCCCACTTATGTTCAGGATGATGCTGCTGCAGCATTAGATTTTCTCAGAATTTCCACGGTCGGGAGGCGTAGCGTATGGAAATGACGCAGAGGAGAAATCACTCTCTCATCCTGCAGGCAAAGCCCCAGTTGACTCGCTGGTCGTAGTTCAGAAGGGGATATGGGATGTCCTACCAGTCCAGCAGAAAATCCCATTCAGGATCTCGATTTTTCCCATTCTCAGATGCTGGCCAAATTTTCATTCTGTATAAGTACAAGTCGTAAGCAGCTATCCTGAAACTGATTGCACAGGCAGAAGTTCGCGGGATAGCAGAGGTCGAGCAGGGAGACCGAGCCGACGTGTTTCGATGTCCCCAGACTTGAACTTAAATATGCTCCGAGTGATCCATGTTGACCCTGAGTGGCTTTTCTCAGCTATTTATGCTCGAATGTTTCGTCATATTTCCGGTGCTAGAGCCCTGTCAGTAAGTAGATCGTAAATCTCGATTCGCCTCTCCTGTAGGCGACTTCGTATCTCGCAGGATATATCTGCCAAAGCAAAGTTTTCCTTTCGTCTCACTCTCCCACTTACTCACCCCCTTTACTCTACAATCACTCGAGCGTTCTTCATAAAACGTCACAAAACAGGGACAATCATAACGCTTCGCCACCCACGCCGAGCGATCAGCAAGCACACCATGAATACGCTCCTGAGTGCAAGCGACGCTAGTATAGAACAGAAAACATCAAGACCGACCTCGTGCGCTTTCAGACTCGAGGAAGCAATCCATGCCTGTTCGCTGCACTACTGGGGCCTGGTTTTTTATTTCCTCCAATACATCTTTATCTATATTTATTTCTACATGGTATCTGTCTGCGCGCAGCAAGCGAGTTCGCGTAAAATCTAGGCAGGGAAACACTTGATGACAAGGTTTTCGAGAGGGGCGAGCCTGGATGGCAGTGCCTCGGTCTAACATACTCGAGGCAGACGAACTGGAAGTTTGCGATGCTCCCAGGGGGGGAGCGTGCTTGAAGATGAGTAGGGGTATGAGCTGGCCTGGAATCTGGATCTTCTGCGTGAATGTCATAGTGATGCGAATGATGTGTGTTGGTATGCGCGCGAATGTACAAGATTACTGGGAAATGGATATATATATATATATATGTATATATGTATATTTCAGGGGCAAAGAGCATCGCTCTTCACCTAGGTCAAGATCACGGTACTGACCCTTAGCTCCAACCGTACCCAGGGAACGTGAAAAACGAAAGGCATTCTTCGTACGCAGCTCTATGCGTATAGAATTTGATCTATAACTCTTAAGTTGTCGGGATAGTAACTTTAGGAATGTCCTCCAACACGCCATGGTTTACCCCGTTAGTGAGAGGGGAGATATAACCCCCTGGCCAAAGCCCACCTGTCATCCCTCTGTCCTAGGTTTCGAGATGTATTCCATGCTCATCGTGACCTTATGCTGCACATGTATACAAGCGCTGTCCTCAAGGTTGGAATGGCCCCGACTGTCCGACCCGCTGATAGAAATGGAATTCATGCCTCGGCTACTTGCCGCCCCCAACTTCTGATCTAGATCCACCATCTCCTCACCGTGGCTGTCTAGCCGGTGGGATCGCGTCTGCATATTTTGGGAGTGGTCGGAGGCGAAGTAGTTGCTGTTCATGGTGCCGAAGAGGTGGGGAAGGTAGGCGGAGAAGAAGGGTCTCGTTGCTGGGATAGAGGCGCAGATCTTGGGTTGTCAGTCAGTTGGGACTGGATTGAAGGGGGAGAATTTTGGGAATTTACAATGGCGAGGTAGAGCTCTATCGCGGATGTTTTCCAGACCGGGTAAGAACGCCATGTCTGATCCCATCCCACAGTCACTTCCCACATGTAGTAGGTGCGTACTATACCGGCTATACATGAAATGAAGCCGAGCCCAAACAGCACAATGACGATGATCATTTGACGTCGAGGAAGCTGTAGCGTGGAGACTGTTCGGATAGGAAGCAGAACGGTAAGTATATCTGTGAGTGTATTTATGATGCCTGCAGCCAGAAGCGTCGCAGCTTGATCGATGCAGTTCGGTTGCGGTCCCTCGGTGATCTTCCAGTAATCTTGCATAGGCCTACCACAGGGGTAAGTATCTTCTGATGGATGTGGGGGAAAGCTATTATCGAAAGAGCAATTACCGGCACTGGAAGATGATCGTCAAGCCAAACACTGTTCCCTGAAGGGCCACAAATATAATGGCTATGATCGTTATGCGCCGCCAGAAAGTCGAAGTACTGGTAAGCAGCTTTTTGACCAGCATCAACATAGACAGTTTCGTAAGAGTGATAGCTGCCCCGAAGGCGACCTGGGCAGCCATAACCATCTTCAGTCCTCCGACAACATAGCTCGGCGGGATATCATACTACTACACTTCAGCACCTGTTCTTGACTTCTTGTCATGGGCGAACTCAACATACCGTATGTCGGATCCAAAGGTACTTGGTATCCTTCAAAACACTTATTATAAAGAACCCCGTCGTCGGGACCTACTTCTCATCAGCTTTCATTCCTCATTGCCTGTCCCCGTAATTGGAAGGAGGAAGTCTAACCATAGCACACAAGATAAGAACATCATCTGCTCCAAAAGCATTATTCAAATGCGTCCTCGTAAACACCCTCAATACAACAAAGCAGATCAAGATAACATAGAAGGCGATATTCAGGATTACGTTCGCGTTGCCTCTCGTATCCGGATCAACATAATTCGGGGCCGGCCAGGACGCAATCACGCTCGCAGGTGGCATTTGCATCGTTTCAACATACACATACCGCTAAGGGTTCAGGAAAGGAGAACAAGAGATGAGGTGAAACAAAGACAGAACGAAAAAGAAAGCCCGAATTGCAGACTTCTAGATCTTTCGTCTTCTTAAACGAATATCCTCGCCGACATGTTGGGGCTCGGGACGGAGATATGATTATGAGGGGGAAGATGGCAACGAAACGAAACAAAAAAAACGTAAAAAGGATAGACGTTGAAATGGGATGAACGGAGACACATAATATACCCCTCCCCGCTTGGTTGACAAGCCACATATAATGATAAGAAGCGTCTCCTTGCGATGAACATTGAACGCCCGCGTACCTGCGGTTTGAGTTTTGTTTGGGGGCGTGTCCGTGCACACTGGCCAACAAGCGATGCCGAAATTCCAGCACGTTGGCGATTTGGCGATTCATGCACGCGTGCTTATCGAGGGTCTAGTGACAATAGCGGTATTGTTGATCAGTGTCGATGCGGTCGGTTAGATTGATAAGCCGCCTGAGACAAACAAGAGGGAGAGACAAGGGATACTCGCGTGCTATATATAAATCTCGATAATTTCGAGAAAAAGAGATCCATCTGAATGAATACCATGTCGTTAGCAGCATAGACTGGGATTCTCAAGCATATCAAGAACAAGAAGGCATTTCAAATAGATGAACATGCACTTGAAACGAATCGTCAAGCTCAAAATCTTTTACATCTGGATGGAAATGCACGCACGGGCTTCCAATAATTCCATGGATTCGGGAAGGCGCTCGGGAAGTCTGTATTACGGTCCGCCGCCGCGATGCCTGCCTGTCTGTTGGTATCATCTAAGCAGCCTTCTTCGCAAACTCCACTCTGAGAATCAGATGCTTGAAGCCGTAACCGTCCATCTTCTCGCACGCCTTGGCCGCATCCGTCCGCTCCTGGAAGCTGATAAACGCAAAACCCTTCGCCATTCCCGTCTCCCGATCCTTGGCGAGGAAGACGCGGGTGACGCGCCCGAACCTCTCAAACATGTCACGCAGCTCCTGCTCCTCCGCCATCTCCGACACGTTCGTGACGCGCAGCGTAGCCAGGTCATCGCGCTCGTACTTGCCGCCTCCCATCCGATCTCCGGCAGCCGCCGCCCCTCCCCCGTTACGCATATGCGGTGGCACGTACGAGCTCTTGCCCGCACCGAGACCTCCGGGTCCTTCAGCGACGTCTGCGGCACCGCCGGCGGCGTCGGCCGAGGCATTTTCCTCGCCGACCGGGGCCATGGTATCCTTGAACGGACATCTCGCGGTGAAGTGCTCGCCGTTACAAATGCGGCACTTGACCTTTTTGTCCTTCAGCTTGTCCTTCATGCTGCCAGCCTCCGTCTTCTCCTCCTTTGCGTCCTTACGCCAGTTGGTGCTGGGTCGGAAGATAATATTCTCGCCTACGCTCGTGGTATCCGTAGCGGGCTGCAGAACCGTCAATATGAAGTTCCCTCTACAAACGCGTGGAATGCTGTTCCAACGTACCCCGGATCCATCCTTGGCGGAGAGTCCAAACTTGGACCATTGCTTGCGCTCTGCTACCCGTGGGTTGACGACCTCCTTGTGTACTGTGAATCGGATCCGGCGTGTAGTCTTGACCTTCTTGCCATCATCGTTGAATCTCCACGAGATAATCGTCTTGGTACCATCCTTGTTGGTAGTGGTGGTAGATGGAGGGAGATCGTTGGAGATAGTAGTATCGTCGAGGTCCTCATCGTCGGCCCAGTCGGCGCGACTGTTCAAGCACAGTATGAGCAAATAGTTCACAATGAAATGGGACGTAGTGGGCGGGCCGCTCTTACCCTGCAGTTTTCGACATCCTATTGTTGTTTATTATTCAGATGGTATTTGAGACTTTGAAGAGTGAACTCAGTGGATTGAGAGATGCTTGAATTTTGTTCGGGGTGGTTGTATTGAGGTTCCCAGTCGGAGGTTCTGTCTAAGAGGAAGCTTTGGAGAGTGGGGCGAAAATTCACAAGCAGAGTGTGGGTCACGTGTGACCCTGAGTACTACCATGGATTTGGGGATAGTCTACAGCACATTTCTCCCAAATCATATCTCATAATCCTCAAGCACCCGCATGATGGTATATTCATTTCTCAGGGTCATCAAGTATGTAGTAAAGTCACCCGAAGACAGGATGATCCGCCATCCGATCCATCACAAAACCCAAAATATGCGTACGGAGATCCACCGTACGTATATAACTAACTACACACAACCTTCTTCAATATTCAGCCCTCGATCCCACATAAAACCCTGCTGAACACAAGTGATTATATAAGTAAGCCGCTTCCGCTCGACTATGAAATCGCGTGGCGGGTTTTCTTTCGACCCTATTGATTCGTGCTCTCTACTCAAGAAATTTATTACCGGCCGATCAAAGCTCTTTGCAGGCGAGCAAGGCCGATCAAACACTACTTACCAGGTACTGACCTACTAACTACTTACCAAACTTTAGTTATATTTTTGCTGAATCATAAATGGAGTTTCTTTTCTGTTGCTTGTCGCGACACTAAAAAGGTACTGGTATACATCATCCCTGGTACTGATTTGGACCTAAGATAAACGCAAAGGCTTGTAGATTGCAAAGGACAGTCAAGTTTTGTATCGAAGAGCAGAAGAATCGCACTGAAATTTTTTGAGAGGGGATGTCATATTATTCGTCGTCTTCTATCCTAGTTTAATACAGCAACAGTCATTTGACCTGTGCAAAGTACCCACCACCACAGGTCCGCAGTGCATGGTCCGCAGTGCATGCTCTGCTCAGAACGCCTTTTTTGCCCCCCCAAAGCTACGAAAACAAGTGGTAGTATGACAACAGAGAAGAGTCGCCAATGTGCAACATATGAGTACAGAGATGAATACATGAGCGGTCTAAACCCAGCCCAAAAGAAGTCGCTAAAGAGTCAAAGTGTTGCTGTCAAATCATCTATTGCTTCTTCTCGCCATCCTTGGTCTCGCCCTCGGTGGGGTTCTCGCCAGACGGGGGGGCCTCTCCGGACTCGTTACGGGCCTTGTGCATCTTGTCGAAGAGATTCAAGCTGGCCATTTGAAGCTCATCGGTCTTCTCCTTGATCTCGGCGGCGGTGGCACTACCCTCACCAGATTGAGACTTGCTGACGAACTCGCGGAGAGTAGTAATCTTCTCACGAATTTGGTCAACCTCGGTCTTGTCGAGCTTCTCGGCGAACTCGTTCAAGGCCTTCTCGGTATCGTTCAGGACACTATCGGAACGGTTGGCGGCCTCAATGGCATTTTTGCGCTCTTTATCAGACTCGGCGTACTTTTCTGAGTCGTTGACCATGCTTTGGATCTCGTCGTCGGAGAGACCGGATCCGGAGGCGATAGTGATCGATTGGTCCTTGTTGGTAGACTTATCCTTGGCATGGACGTGGACAATCGCGTCGGCATCAATGTCAAAGGTGACCTCAACTTGGGGAACACCACGGTGCGCAGGTGGGATACCGGTTAGTTGGAAGTTGCCGAGCATCTTGTTGTCACGGACAAGCTCACGCTCTCCTTGGTAGACCTTGATCTCAACGGCAGTCTGGAAATCGGCGGCAGTGGAGAACACTTGAGACTTCTTAGTGGGGATGGTGGTGTTTCGGTTAATCAAACGAGTGAAGACACCTCCGAGGGTCTCAATACCAAGGGAGAGAGGAGTTACATCCAAGAGAAGGACATCGGTAACGTTACCAGCAAGGACACCACCCTGAATCGCAGCGCCCATAGCAACAGCCTCATCTGGGTTAACAGACTTGGCAGGGTCACGGCCAAAGATGCTCTTGACGGACTCAGCAACCTTGGGCATACGGGTCATTCCACCAACCAAGATGACCTCCTGAATGTCCTTGGCTTGGAGATTGGCATCCTTCAAAGCCTTGCGGACTGGCTCAACGGTGCGGCTAATGAGGGGATCAACCAGCTTCTCAAGCTGCGAGCGGGAAAGCTTTTGGTTGATGTGTTTAGGTCCGGAAGAATCGGCGGTAATGAAGGGAAGATTGATGTCGGTTTGCATGGAAGAAGACAGCTCAATCTTAGCCTTCTCAGCGGCTTCACGAATCCGCTGGATGGCCATACGGTCGCCAGAGATATCGATGCCAGAGTCCTTCTTAAATTGCTGGACCAAGTGGCGGACCAAGTGAATATCGAAATCTTCTCCTCCCAGATGGGTATCACCATTGGTTGACTTGACCTCAAAGACGCCCTTTTGGATCTCGAGAACAGAGATATCGAATGTGCCTCCACCCAAATCGTATACAGCAATAATCTTGTCCTCATCCTTCTCAAGACCATAGGCAAGAGCAGCAGCAGTTGGCTCGTTAACCACACGGAGAACGTTGAGGCCAGCGATTTGACCGGCATCCTTGGTAGCTTGTCGTTGGGAGTCGTTGAAGTAGGCTGGGACAGTGACAACGGCGTTTTGAATAGGCTTAGTGAGGTACGCCTCGGCGGTCTCTTTCATCTTTTGCAAGACGAAACCTCCGATTTGGGAAGGCGAATACTTATCTCCTCTCGCCGATACCCAGGCATCACCGTTTGTGTGTTGAACGATCTTGTACGGGACCTCCTTGATATCGCGTTGAACCTCGACATCTGTGAACTTTCGGCCAATCAACCGCTTGGTAGCGAAGAGTGTGTTCTCCGGATTGACGACAGCTTGACGCTTCGCTGAGACACCTACTAATCTCTCACCATCTTGTGCGAACGCTACTACAGAGGGTGTTGTTCGTGCACCTGAAGAAGATTAGTGGCGAAAAGAAGCCGGTAGAGCAATGTACATACCTTCAGAGTTCTCGATAATCTTGGCTGTAGTGCCTTCCATGATAGCGACGGCCGAGTTGGTAGTTCCTGGAAAACGGCATATGAGCATGCGAACTCATTTCACGCGCCGACAGCATAAACTTACCCAAGTCAATACCAATGACTGGTCCCCGAATCTTTTTATCAGCCTCATCTGCATATCTGCGCACAAAGGATGAGCTCAATGGTGCACGGATCGAACGTGTGGCGGAAGAGGTAGCTCTGGGAAGCTGTTGGAGGTCAGATGGTGATGTAATTAATAGAAGGGAAACCCAGAAGTCGCACTTACAGCTCTGGACAATCTCGAAGACAACATGGTGGCGGACGCTCAGAAATTAACAGAGGTACAGAGAGAAGGTATTGAGTATCAGGACAGGAAGAAGATCTGTATCGAAAAGAGGGATGGATCGATTGAAGTGTTTGTTTGATGGGGATGGGGAGGAAGTTGATAAATGTCGGAGAAGATGAGAGAAGAAGTGAAAGGAACCTCGAAAAATTCTTAGCGTATGGAATTGCACAGAAAGTAGGTGACCAATCGGAGCAAACGGCCTTTAGTTTGGCCGACATGCCGACGTGCCGACGACAGGGCTTCGCTCTCAGCCTTGACCTTGAGATTAATGATGCGACAGCTCAAGACACAGAACAAAACATCACATAAAATAGCAGCATCCCTTTTGCTGTCTCGACTCCAACACCAACATCGTGTTCTGCTCTGCAACAACATTTGATTGCTACACAGCTTCTTTCCGACAAGCCCGACCCTCTGCCCTGTCCTCGCCCCTCTCTTACTCACGCCAGTATCAAAGAACTTTATGAGCGCATCTGAAGGCGCATGGCAGCAATGGCCGTCGAAGATGAGAGCTTGTACGTTAGCATGATATCACAAACCCCTACAGCAAGTACTAATTTTTGCGGTATCTAGACATCATGCTACCGACAACTTGATCCTTTCAAACCCTCGCAAATACTACAGAGCCAATGTAGATACCAGGTGAGTGGGCTAGCATAAAGAGACTCGAACAAATGTGACGGGAACGCAGTCACAGCAACCGTTCTACCAAAGGGTCTCACAGCTCAGATAATTTTGTCGGAATGTATTCAAGACTACAAAGCTAACATGCGATTAGCCATTGGCAGTTGCGCTCCTTGATTAGCTCTCCAGAGCAAGACCTTGTCTACTTTCCCAGCGAAACCGAAATCTACTTGCTCAATACCAAGACCCAAAAGCTTGAGCTCGTTGCCTCTCTAGGCTTCATACCCAGATGTCTGGTTGCGTCGAAGGAGTGGCTTTGCTGTGGAGGGGAAAATGGAAAATACAGTGCCATCTCTTTGAAGCACCGCGCATTGGGCTCCGACCTGTCTTCCTTTCTCAATGCCGACCCAGACTCTCGACTCCCCCTTGATCTCGACCCTACTCGGCGCTCAAGTCTCCAAGAATCCGAACATTCCACAGGGCTACGAGACAATTGGGAATCTAGAAGATCTACGGCTGAGAAGATAGACGTTGGTACAGAGATCGTCAATTGCATTACACTCTGGTTCCCGACAGAAGACCTGTCGGAGCGTACCCACAAATTCCCCGTGGCTGTAGTCTCAAATAATGACCGTACGGTTTCAATATTGGACCTGGCAACTTCTAAGCCCATCCAAAGATTCAAGCTGCCCGACTGCGTTAACCGTTCAGCGATATCACCTGATGGCGAGTTATTGGTTGCAATATGCGATGATCCATTTCTCTACATCCACACGAGAAGACAAAAGAGAATAGAAAGAGAGCGCTTCGAGTCTGAGGCAAGCCAGGTCTACGAATGGGCTCCTGCAGGACGGATACAATTAGAGAGTCAGAGGCAGGCAGACAACTCTCAAATGAGAGGAAGCTTTGCTCTATCTTTCTCCAGATCGGGACAGTATCTTGCTGTAGCAACACAGTATGGCATTATTTCTGTCTTCGATACCCAATCTCTCACTGAGGGTGAGTCCTTGATGGTGTGGTTTACTACTTCCAGGCCGGGTCGTCAACCAGGAGCTGTCCGGGCAATGGAGTTCTGTCCAGGACCCTATGATCTCCTTGTAAGTGCTTTCCCATCTATTAGCATACATAATGAGCATTTGAGGCCCCGCCATCTGTACCGAGTATCGTTTGCTCACCAATTTCAGGCTTGGACAGAGTCTACTGGGCGAGTTGGAGTTGCCGATGTCCGAACAATGTTCAATTCCAGACAAATCATTTTAATCAACAAAAGCGATGCCAACGTTGAAAAAGTGGACGTATCAGATAGATCCGATCACCGATCAACAATCCGCACCGCTCAAGATCCAAGCAGCACGCCAGACTACATGAGCCTAGATGAGAGTCGAGGTTCAGATTCTGAGAGAAGACAATTGAGAACTCTGACGCGCGAGATGCTGGATAGGCATCGCGAAGCTTCGACAGTCGACGAAGAGCTGGGTATGTTCCTTCCCTGAATCACCACGAGGCGAGCCACTTCCTTAAAACATATCTGCTAACACGTAGCTACCAGCGGTCCTTCAAGCACTCCGCGTCGACCGTCAACGCAGAGAAGCATTGGCTGCCAGCTGGGCCGACCCCCGCCGCTCAGCTGTTACCGTTTTAAACTCCACCCGCCTCGCAGCAACTGCCTTGTCTCGAGAACTTTCAAACCAAGAGCGCCTCAGAGTCGACACTTTCCAGTCTGACGAGCGACGCCGCGAAATGCCTCGTCTGGCGCATCCTGAATCCGCCACAGCCGAGCGCGAAATGGCAGCTCGCCGCCTCGCGTCCGCCACATCCGCGCGGTGGAGTCGCGGGCTACTACTTGAAGCCGATGCAGCTGCCCGGAGAAGCGCGCGTCTTTTACCAGCTCCTGAGACGTCTGCCGAGAGATCAACAGCTAACAGCGCCCTATCCCTTGTTGAGGGTATTTCCCTGACATCCAGCCCCCGCCCTTCCTCTGGCCCTGTTACCGAGTCCTCAGGAGCACCGGAAAGCGATAACTCTTGGGCGAATGTCGAAGCTCTGTACCGGGCTCGGCTAGAAGATAGCAACCAACGCTTCCGTGCTAGAGTGAACGAGCAATTAGACCGTTTTGGACTTGAAAATTCTTCTGCCCAGAGATCTGCACGACTGCGAGCTAACTTGGAAGGTGATGAGCAGAACACGGCGACGGATTTTGCGCGTCGGAGGCAACCGTTGCGACCTAACTCGAATGATGAGGGTGGCCTTGGGGTGGCGAGTAGGGGCCAAGCTGGGGGTATGGATGGGGGACGGATGAATGAGACGATGGGTGTTTGCTGGAGTCCGGATGGGAGAATCTTGTGAGTTCAATCCTTTCCGTCTTCCCCCTACGAATGTCGTTCTGGATTCCCAATCTGTAGCATGGCTAAGAATAGACAGATACGCGGCAACAGTGGAAGGTATCCACGAGTATCACGTTAACATTCCCTGTCGCAAGAAGTTTCCCAGCCTTGTTCTTCGGTAATGCGGCGGGGAACTAAATGGGTGCATTAATTTGGCGTTTGGAGCTCAGCCGGTGGTGGGTACGATACGGTGTGGTACATACGGGCCGGAGCAGGGAGAAAGGAACATTGTAGGAATATCTGTATTTAGCGGTCCACACAGGATACATTCTTCGCTCGCAGTTAGTCGGGTATGGGGCGACATACGCATAATCGAGCGGAAAGCTGCCTGCCTTCAATTGGAAGGCTGCGATTTCAGCACTTCATAAATGAATGGAATGAACAAATGAACGATCAAGCAACCAACCCATCTGCACGGTTCTATCTTCTCTTCTGGCGTACTATATCGATTTATGCTTAATGATTAGTGAAAACCTCCCCTGTTGAGGGAACGGAGGGGAACGAGGAAGAGAAGGCGAAGCTAATTTGGGAAAGTTGAGAGCTTTTAGTTTATGTATATATAACGATAGGTAAAGGGTGTCTGTACGGAGTAAGTGCTTGCATAGGAAGAAGGAGAGGAAGGTTCACGCATAGGAATTTCCGCAGATATGGCATTTCTATGGATTGCTAGAGGATATGGCCTTCTCTTATATTTTTTTATGCATGGTCTTTCCTTGTTTGTTGCAGCTCACGCGAGACTTGTGGCATGGGCTGGCGTCTATTGTTTAATCGTCTTAAAAGGATGTAAGGAGGCCCACCTAAGCGAGCCGACGATTGGTACGTTTAATAATATTGGAGAAGTTTTGCTGGAGTTTTGCATCAACTGTCCCAGCCAAAACCGATGAAAAGGCTGGCACGCGATCTGTGGACTTTGATTCCCGGGCGCAGAAATGATAAGATCACTTTAGAACCAACATGGTTCTCTCACACCTTCAGCCCCTACTGTCATCTTCACATATCTATCTACCTGAACCATTAGAAAATGCTGGGATAGCAATCCGAATAGCTACCTAGCTACCACATCCGGTTTTTGCAACCCTCATCCTTTCTGGTTTTAATTTCTTGTTCTAGCTGAGCGTCTGTGAGACCCTGGCTGTGAATAGCGCAGGGCCTTGCAGGCTCGGTCAGGGGCTGCGAAAACGAACCTGATGATAAGCACTACCATCTACCCAGAACAGGCTATACATCCGCGAAGAGCCATACTTCTGCGGAGGATAGTATGTTCGACGTGGTCAACGTCGTGAATAAGAATCTATACTAATATCCTGGAGTTGAGGAGCCTATGACGCTGCGTGAATGCCTATCATATTTATCTTCCATTGCTGTCAATAAGATTATTGCTATTGTTTTATCAGTATCGATATTGCCTATGTATATATATATATATATATATTGAAGACAATAAAAAGCGTTTCTGAATACTTGGATCCAGCTCCACACCAAAGACTTAACATCCTTCTCTTCTAGCCCAGTCAGAAGTATATCGAATAAAGAGAGCTAAACTGCATCGAAACAGGCTCGGTGGTGCTCGATCCACGCCTCGTTTCGTGGCAGTTGTTAAGAGAAGAGGAGTGAAGAAAGGCCAGGAAATCATATAGGTTCGGGATCGAGGTGACTGAGTTATACCATAGATGTCTACTTCCTCGCTAATTCTATGAGAAACCTACCGCTACACATGGCCCGCTTTGACCGCTGATTTCTTGTTGTTCAAGGAAAAGGAAACGACTGACACCAAGATCTATGGGTAGGAGCCGGTTAGAGGAAGTCTTCTTGATAACAAAACTGACTTTCTAGAAGTATACGTGCTAAAAGAGGCTGAAAGTTCCAATTTGCAAAAGGGATCGCAAAATATATGCGGTGTAGTTGGTAATCGTACCCCTGGTCGGAGTACTAGTCAGAGGCAGGAACCGCAGGGGTACGATTAGCTGGTACTGTCAACATCCTTCTTGGTGTCATTTATACAGATTCTGGGCGCGGCCAGCGCCTATAATTCAAATCACCTTGGCCTGTGTTTCAAGGCAAGTAATACATCTATCTATCTGCTAGATCTGACACATCCTCATCCTCAGAATTACATCTGTGGACGAAGAGTAATTAATATCGATAGCCGCACGGTGCCTCCTTAATTTTTGAACTCTTTCGGCAGTGCCAGCTTGATTCAGGTGTCTTGTACAGCTAAATTCGCCCTTATATATCACTACTTCCTAAATGACGGAGCATCACATCTCCTACGCCTAAGACGTCAAGATTCCGAGGTTTGGCTTAACATGAATGAATCATCTCGCGGTACACGGGCGTCTGCTGAGAGCAGATTAATACTCATATTCACTCCCGGAATTCTCTCTCATCAAAGCCATGGAAGACAAGACAACCAAGAATCTATCTAGATCTTCAGACTTCAGACTTCTACAAGATCAGAATCCCATCAAACGACAGTAATTGTAGACCACTCAGATCCACGCCTTAAAAACCCAGGATCTTTCTCCACTGCTCGACACTAATCTATCCCCCAATTTTCTTCAAATTACTACCAGTACAATAGTACGCTCTCATTTACAAAAGAAAAGAATGTAAGTAATAAGAAAAGATCAGAGGGAGAACTAACTGCCAGCTTAGCTAGCTGCCAAGGACAAAAGAATAGCCGTAGCGAAGGGAGGAACGACGTAAACAAACCAGTCCCCCGTCAACCCTGACGTTTGTTCTACTTCTGAAAGACACGAAACATTCGAATTCTAATCCGAAATTATCATAGATCGATCGCCTAGACGAAGAGGTTGGTTAGCGAGTTGTGAATAATTACGGTATGGTGATGATGTTCTATCATCGTGTTGTGCCTGCGTAGCCCCTATGGTGTATCCTGGAACGCCACTGGGTATTTATTTCCTGACCATTTATTTATCCTTGCGCCAGCCACACTCGCAGCATCAATTCCCATTTTCCCATCTCACACCCGACCCTCTCGCTTGTTATTTTCTTACAACCTGCTGTCTCCCCTTGACATCAAACATTCATCTAGCTTAGGCATGCACTGCCTGCTGTACGTGTGGATAGACCTGAATCATGCGCTGCCACAGATCCGGATACTCGTATATCAGCACCTCAGGATCAAATGCCATGGCCACAAACAGCGTCGCCACACCGCTCTTGATCGGCACCAAGAAGATGTTCGCAATCTGCAGACCGATGAGGAAAGAAAAGGCCATGACGACGGCCGTGAAGGCGTTGCCTTCATTATAAACAGGCTTGGTGAAAGAGAGGTACAGATAAGCGAGGAAAGAGCAGAGGTAGGCGACAAATACGGCACCCATGGTGAGAACAGGGTTGATGAGGCATTCGTTGACGAGGGCGTCGATGCCGCGATCCTTCATCATTGTCCAGGTTGTCTGTTGCAATCAGTACGAGTAGGATGGGTGAGGGGAGAGGAGGGGTTTACCTTGGCAGCTGGAATGTAGGCTTTTCCGTACAACGCAATGTACGAGAACGCATATTCATTGATGAACTGGATAGCCCAGTCCAGAAGGCCGATGAAGCATTGCAAGCAGCAGAAGAAGATCGAGCCGAGAAGATTGCCTTGCGCGGCTTCGTTTTGTTGAGCAATCGAGCAGGCTTGACGTAGCATTTGAATGATGGCGACAAGCAAGCTGCCGAAACTTATGGAGCCGAAGCTGTACGTCATGGAGCGCTTGAAAGCACCACGTGTAGCGCCTTTAGGGACTCCCGTTGGCTTCTGCGAGCAGAAATACCAGGAGCCATAGACGCCTGAAATCGTAACGTGGATGACGTTCTTGATGACTTCCGTGATCCAGTAGGCGGCGAATGTGATGAAGACGAGAAGTCCGATAACCTTGGCATTGCTAGGACTCCCGCCGCCTGCTGCGGATCCCGTTGAATTCGGGTAGTACTTCACATAGACCCCGACCATAGTGACCGAGAACCAGGCCCCGAAGGCCGTAGCGATGAATCCCCCAATGGCAGAGACAGCAAAGACATGCCCATAGTTTTTGGAGACGTCAATGACGGTCTGTAGTATCAGCACTGAGAAGGGAATACGTGGGATCCAGGAGATGAAGCATATGATGTAGAAGACGGAGAAGACGAGGTAAACTATTCCTGCAGAGTACCAGCCGCGAATAAGATACACAATTGCTGTGCCGACACCGAAGACAATTTGTAAGATGCCGGTAATCCAGATAGCTCTGCGAAATGTTAGCGAAAGCTTCAGTTGAGCAATTGAGGGAGGACTTACTGTTTGGTAAAGGCGCGAATGATCCAGAAGTACGCAGCAGAAATCACGAACGCAACGAGCAGAACGAAGGCGCTGCAGCTATCAGAACAGTCCTTCGAATACTCGAATACAGACTTACAACAGGATAATCGTATTTGAGTTCAACGACAGCGTATTCTCGTCATCATAGATACCTCCGGTGCCAGCAACAGTATACCCATGGATCGCCAGTCCGCTGACCGCACAGAACCCGGCAAACGTGAGCAGGAACAGGATCGTTGCCCACAGGTCATTGTACTTCGGCTGATCCAGCTTGAAGGTCTGCTCGAAGCCCGAGAGCTTGCCATTGCCGTTCGGTGCATTGTTGACGGGCTGGATGTTTCCATACTTTGGTGGTTGCTGCGGGTATCCCGAAGCTGCAGCGCCATCGTACTGATTGTATGCGCCTTGTTGGTATTGGGGCTGCTTCTGGTACTCGCCTGGACCTTGTTGTTGGATATAACCCTTCTGCTGGGCTTGCATGCCGATATCTTGTTGACCCTCTTGGTAGTAGGCGTCGGCTTGGCCGCCGTGGTGCGGTTGCGTGTATGCCATTGTCGCCAGCGATGATAACTTGCTTGAAGCAACACCAATTCAAAAGGATGCTGCTGTGAGGATGGGAGGAGGAAATAGCATACAATGTCGAGATCAAAGGAGACGAAGAGAGATGGCGTCGCGAGAAATTAAATAGAGTTGCAACAATTACGGCCACCAGCTAATCCTTTCGACTATTAGTAAGTGACGTCTATACATACTGCCTCTAGATCTTTTAATAGAGCCACCCTGGTTGCTGGGTCACCGTAGCACAGCTACTCCCATTTTTTCCCCCTACCAGATGCAGGCCGTTAGCTGCATTGCTATGACTTCAACAACCATCTTTGGATTCAAACATGAGGAGAGTGGGATCGACAATAAAATTCTGGGGCATAAGGCGAGGCCTAGCTGAAGAAGGCTCCATCAAAATAAAGCTTGTTTGTTGACAAGAACAGGTGAGCAGGGCCCATTTGTGCGAGCTTGGGGCATCATGTGGCTGTGTTCGTTCTATCAAGTTTCGCCGGGGATGAAACATTCAAGACAATCGAGCTTTGAAGAATATGTATTTGAGATTACGCTACAATTACGACGTTATCATTGGGTATCTGAAAAGCAATGAAAGGCAACGCTGTCGCTGAAATGCTGTGAAGTAATGGGTATCCAGATCCAAGGCGCCGGAAAAATTCAGAGACTCCTCTCCTCCACTGGCTCTAGAATGTTCAGATATCTCTCGCCTCTGATCTTAACAATCATCTCGCTCTTCACATTCATCACCAATTCCTCCTTTAAAGCCCGTTTAAACACCTGCTCTCCTCAACTGCGCCTCATCGCTATGGCGACTACGTCCCCATATTCTACGGGTATGCGGCTTCTCAGTATACTCGCGCGTCTGATTCCTCCTTCCAATGAAGAAATCCACCACCCAAGTTATCGCTGCCAAAAACATGACAACAACAGCGACCCAGGTGATAGCCATGTATTTCCCACCTCTGTCTGCGTAGGCCCCGACAGCATTGCCGTACTTGTTGATGATGTTCACGGCTTTCGTTTGCACGTATGTGACGAGCGATGAGGTTATGCATAGGGCGGAAAAGCTTAGTGACGCGAGGCCGCAGTTACCGAAGGATATCAGGCGTGAGTCTTCCAGGAAGAAGGCTGCAGCGGAGCCAATAATGGCCAGCCCGGCAGCTGCGATCCCGATGGCGTATAAGATGAAGACTGCATTAAAAGCTGCGTTCAAAGCGTCCAAGCCCCTGTTGATATCATCGGGCCAGTTGATATCGGAGAGGCTAAGGTTGAGAGGGCCGATTTGGAGTTGTTGGTTCAGAATCTTGTCAATGTTGATATCATCTGCAGCGCCCGGTCAGTTTCGTTCCATGCGAAGTATGGGAGGTGGAGCTTACACAACGCAGTTCGATTAGTGCACGAGGTAATATTCTTGGATGCGCCCTCAGCCGTAGCATTCGGCTTGTAATTCCCCTGGCACCAATTCAACATGTGCAAGCTGTACCACTGGTTAATACCAAGCTCCGCCGCCAAATTGTTGGCGACGTCTGCCACCAACTCGTTGAACTCGTCTTCGACCCTATCCGTGACATTGTCCGTGACGCCAGTGATGAAGTTTCCAATTCTGCCCACAGTAGATGTCGCCGACGCCGTAGCAGAAGCGGATGTGGAAGTTGGTGTGGCATCGGAGTCGGAGCCGAAGACGTTGTGGCCCAAGGTAGACGTGTTGAGCTGTCAAGGGTCAGATTCTGTGCCTGATCAGGTTGGGAATAGAGACGTACTGTGATGATATGGTAGTCCTCCATGAAACTCTTCTCGCTACCTGCGAGTAGAGCTAACAGAGAGAGGATGAATCCCACTATGGCACACGCCAGAGGGAATAGAGCTATGACACGCATATTGGGTTTGTTCTTCAGTAGCAGAGGGAAGTAAGTGTAGTATTGCTTAAGCGCTGTAGCAAAGTGATAATATGGTACATAGATGGTGGTGAGCAAGCTGTTGGGAAGGTCAAACAGCATATACTTATCTACCCTCCAATCGAACCAGTGGATATCGCGGGCACACACTCACTCTTTGAACCCCATCTTTTTTTTCTTCAGTATGTCTGGCTGGCAACCCAACGACATCATCCAGTCAACACGCCATGCCCCAGACATGTCTCCTATTGATTCACAAGCCCATGCAGCTCGGAGTCCCTGCAAACATACCGAAATACCAGCCACTCTTATCCCATTTTCCAGATTGGCTGCTGGGGGCTCCATTGGTATGTTGTCGCCGGTGTCAGGGGTGGCGCGACGTCATTGAAGCGAAAGGAGGGACAAGGTTTGAGGGCGGCCGGGCAATTATTGGAAAACGGACTGGAAGCCGAAGCAAGCGCTTGATCGAGGTCTGCAGCCGCCAAAAGGGTTATCCCCTGACCAGTGGAGTGGAGTGGAGTGGATTGCATAATCGGGCCACGGGGAACGGTGAACGGTGAACGGTGAACGGTAAAACTTGCTGAATAGAAAATTATCTGAATCTGTAAGCCAAACTGGCTGTGTGGCTGGTTACACAGACTGAGAGTGGGTAGGCGCTAAAAACGAAGCTTGGATCATTCGGTAAAGAAGGAATGGATTGGAAATGGATCATGTGATGTGAGATGACTGAATCACGTTTTAAAGTGGGACACACCCTAAGACCCTAGGACATGGCTCATACGCTCTAACTCCGTATATGAATCCTCTTTGGAATCGATGCCTTCTTGTTAGCTGTTAATTACTTTTCCTTTTCACCATGAAGCGAAGCAGACTCAGTTTTCTCCATTCATCACCCGTCAACAGAGTCGCCAGGATCCCAGAACCGTCGGGCAGATTTTTGTACGTGCATTCTGCTGCAGGAAGCTCCTAAAGGCGGAGAGAGTAAATTCGAGAAGTTTATGTAGGTATATCTGCAGGATGACTGGCTAGAGACCAACTCACCGAAAATTATCGTGTGCGAGAGGCATGCGAAGCTTGCGTTTCTTTGTTCCAAGAGAGTGGCTCTATGTACAGTAGGGCACGTGCTGCAAGGCACCTGCCATGGCAGAGCTAGAGGCATTTTGCACAACAACTATCTACGTGCATTTCCAAGAAGAGATACTGTTGTCGTAACGAGCAATACCCGGGTTTGCTCCAACGTTCGGGATGGAATTGTGAGCAGTGATAAATCCGCCACTAGCGTTGCACCCGTTATCGCAGTTTTCTCGATTAGCTGTTTGGACTTGGGTTAAGGGGCAGTATGAGAGCCTTATATATAGAACTCGCAATTGGCGCCTTTAGCATCGAGACTAGTAATATGATCACGCAAATTCGAAGCCAGATCGTCTTCAACTTGGGAAGCTTTAATCCAATGTTTTAAAAAGAAAGATTCTTATTGCGGCGGCCTGATACCCAAGATAAGGGGTTGCAGCTTCGCAAATCAGGGTCGAGGCAAAGCGAGACTGTTTGGCTTTGCCTAACAGAAAGATCTGCAGGTGCTGCTGTTACGGCAGAAGCTGAGAGAACAGCTGCGGCGACGACAGCGTTGATGGACATCATGTTGAGAGAGTGATAGTGATAGTTGGATAATGTGATTGTTGGAAAGACTATTGGAAAGGCTGTTTGGTTTAGAAGTCTTTAAGATGACTTCTGGTATGTGCAAGTACATTTGCAGACACTTCATCCGGTCTTTCCGGTACGACGTGTTAGATACAATGAATTAAGAAAATTGGTCTTTTTAGTAGAAGTTCCAGAAGCCATATTGATAGACACCTTCAAGTAGCAGAAATTTCGAGAGAGCTATGCAAAAAAATTGGGCAAGAATCTGCTTCGATAGTATCTGGAAGATACTTTTCAAGGCTGAATCTTTATAAGTTGACTGGTTCAAGCCCTGGTAAGTAAAGATGTTCAACACTGTATACTACGTACCTATATGGTATCAGCGCCACGGCTAAGAAGCGCTAAGAAGTTGGTAGAGTGGACGGTCTCATGCGATAACGATTACTGACCTGCCGACCTGCGTAGCACTCCTGATGTGTTATCTCGACCTGCGAATACTGTATTTGGCTTGGTTTGCGAGTAGGCCGAAGTTCATTCGTGCCCTGACCCTTGACTTGACATTCGGTAAAGGTGTGTGTTGTATAGGGCTAGCAGAAAGGTTCGTGACGTCTGCGTAATTTTGAAAAATGGCTATCATACCTCATCATACATAAGGCTTGACAGTCAGGTTATATATAGCATAAAACCAATTATCTCACTCTATTGTCCTAAATATAGAGTCGGCGCCACAGCCAAGAGGTTAGTAAGGGAGACGCTTCAAAAGATAACGATCATTGACCTATCGACCTGGGTATCTATAACGATGCGTTGTCTCGACCTGCGGATACTCTATTCGGCTTAGTCTGCCCTTGGTTCGAAGTTCATTCTTTGCCCTGACCCTTTGAACTGACATAAAAGTGGATGCCCTGACTTGCTCTTCAGTGATCATATACCCCTATTTTGAAAGAAAGAAAAAAGAACCTCAATAATATCTGAATATAGGTAGCCTCGATCGCATTAGATCTAATGACAATATATACCCTCCCATCCCGCCGTGATTTGTTTCAATGTTATCGTCGCGATAATGATTTGTACGCAAAAACTCGCGAAGTATTCCCCACTTCTCTCCTTTCGAAGCGCAAGCCAAGGTGCTCTACGGATATCGAATTGGGTTAAGATAACTGACATACCGGTAGTTAACGGATCTTGCAAAACCCCTTTTTCAAAATTACTAATCGTGGGGTTAGCTCAGGAGTTATGCATGTTGGGTTAACTCGGCTGCAAAACCCCTCTACTGACAATTATCCCTTTCCCGGGGCTATCTAAAAGAGAGCTTTTCCTTAACGTAGTCTTTACTTTCGATTGGATAGTACTTTGTATATGATACCTCTACTTAAGACGTCGTCGTCTCCTACGGGAGGTCTCAGGGCCTGCCACCCGCCCGACGTTGATAAATACAACAACAATAACAACAACAAAATGCCGTATACTTTTGGCTCTTTTGCCACCGACTGGTCTGCGTTTCAAGTCACCGCAAAACTGGACCTGGAACCCAACAATTCCCCATTTCTATCGTGCATGACTTTTAGTCTACTTTCTCCAAGATCTGGACAAGAATAAGAAGTTGAATGACGTTGTTAGAAAAAGTAGGGTATCTGATTTAGCGATTCCACGAAGAGCCTCCTTCCCACGGGTGTACTCGGCTCGGGAAGGAGTTTCCGAGCTAACTCCCAGCCATCTGAGGATTCTGGTCATCAGCACACTCGGTGCGATCCGCATCGCTCTCTCAACTTGGAAGCCTATTACACATCGCGGGACGTGGACTCCCGAAATTCAACAACGGGTTCTTGCTACTAGAATAACAGCTATTCTTATAATATACAAAAGAAAATGGATCTCCTCCTACTGGCAGCACGACGTAAAAAGCTCAATTCATCTACCATCCACCTTAAAGTATCTCAAAAATCGAGCAAGACCCTACCATTAAGGTAACCGACCAGACCTCTAATTCGTGGCGAGTTACGACTGCTCTGGTTGCTCTCATCTTAACCCGACTCTACAGCCATCTAGGATATCTTTTATCGTAAATAGATGAAATGTCGCGAAGACGACTTGCCGCTTGGTATCAGTAGATTAGCCACCAATAGGTACCTTCCTTGAAGAGAAGAGCAGGGCATACGCGTTATGAGATCAGACTGGCGGTGAATATTACTTAGATGATCTGCCTTCCTCGCGTAGAGAGTTGAGAAGGAGCGGGCACACGTTTGCCGTTGACTGGCCCGGACTAAGCAGATACACCAATGGCTCGTGAAGTTATGCCACGTGAGTTCTGTTTCATTAGCATGGCGAAAGGAGCTGGTGACACGGATCACATCTCCCACCTGAGATGAGATCAGAAACATAGCATTCTGTAGCCAAAGGTGTTTAGATTACTAGGATACTAGGATACCGTGCACCGAGTTCGATGTCGCAAGTAGGACAGCAAAAAAACATAACAAAAACAATATCACATTCTGACTTGCACACTTTCATTTCCGCTTCTTTCCGCACTCACCTCTAAAACTTCCTTTCAAATCAGCAGCCTCCAATGTTTCAGACGCCGTTTTCAATCTTGCGCCGGACACCAAACTTTCACCACCCTGTGCTTCATATCATAGCGGCATGCACAGGTTCGAATTACTTCCCCTAGCTGTTCAGGTAACTTCTGATAGCACCCTGCAGCTTGCTCGCACCCTCGCCCAGTACTTGAGTCAAATTCTCCAGATCGTCGCCAGCGGTGACACCGAACTTGCGGACAAAGTCCTTGGCGGCGCTCTCAAGATCGCCATATTCTTCTCCAGCATCTTCCTCCTCGGCTCGGCCGAAGTATGCGTTTGATGAGATGGATGTGGCACCCTCAAATCCTTGCAGCCGGTTCTTTGCCTCAGATTGAGCGTAAGGATCAAAAGCTCCCTTGTTAAAGAATTCGTCCGACGAGATACCCTTCTGTGCACCGAACTTTTCACGAGCGTATTTTTGGTCGTCATCTGCCATATACTTTAGCAAAATTGACTATGAGAAGGGGCTTCTCCTTACCTTCTTGCGTAGCTGAGACTGGGCCAACAGATCCGAAACCACCCATTTTCTTTTGTGCAGCAGCGGCTGGCTTGGAGCCTCCAACCTGTCCAAATCCAAGACGTCCCATGCCCATGCCAAGTCTCTCGACGTCCCCGCCATTGCGGTCTCTGCCTGCTCTTCCAGGGTTCAATGGGGTCGGAGATGCGATGCTCTGAAGGTCGGCCGATTTGGTAATCGTCTTCTTCACAGAAACTTCCTCCGCATCTGGATCGTAACCCAACTTCTCAATTCTCTCAGCCTCCTCCTTCGCCTTCTTTTCTGCGGCATCAAAATCGATGACATCTCCGGTGACTTTCTTTACTCCCAGCTTCGTCTTCTTAGCTCCCAACACATTTGCCTTGCGAGGTCCCGTTCCAGTAGTGGTTGTTTTGCGCAGCGCAGCGGATGAAGTGGTGCGGCTTGCATTCGGCGCCGCGGCCCCTGCAAGAGGCGAAGCGGCTCGTGCATTTCCATTGCCATTTCCATTCGAGGCACTGGCGTTCAGGAATGGAGAAGGGGTTCGTCCAATAACAGGCGTGGCAGCACGGGAGACAGGAGGTGTGGGCTTCTTGATAGCTGGTTTGTCCCAGGAAGAAAAGAAGTCATCTTCAGGCTCGCCAGCTGGTGTAGATGCGCCGTCAGACGGGCCATTGCCCATCACGTCTGTCACCACAACATGGTTTGCTGTACCACTGTGCCCACCACGTCAGCATACATCGACACGAAACTTCCGAGCTGCTTACTTTGCAATATCCTTGTCGGCTAGTGCGTTCAGATACTTCTTATATGATTCGGCAACTGCTGAACCATACTTGGTCTTTGAGTCCTTGCTAGCCAGAGCAGCGCTTCCTCCGTGGGATTGAAAATACTTCTTGATGGCTTCATTTCCTCCCATCTTCATGAGTCTCAGTTGTCGCCATTGCCATTCTAGTTGCGCATTAGCTCTAGTAGCACAGCTGCATATATCACAACATACGGTCAAGGTTCGTGGACCGGACGAAGGAGATGTGTACACCTAGATTTCGGTGGTTCGAAGAGCAATCGAGGCAGAGATAGATTGCGAAGGGCACTGAAGTCCAGGTAGGATTGTTCTGTTTGCAGTCGAAGCAGATCTGAGCAGTGTATAGTCAGTATTAAACATCCCGCCACTAATCCAAGGCATCGTAGGATCTTGCTCACTTTGTTCTCAGGCCTTGTCTTTAATTTTTGGAATAGCTGCAAGGACTCAGCCTTGGAGGCCATTCCATTGTCAACGTTGCCTTCACTGTCTGCCATAGTTGCTACAATCTTGAGGAGTGTCGAAAGATTATCCGGAGCGAGTAGAATGGGAGAGGACCTGTGGGTGTTGCTTTTGCTCTCCAATTCCCGGGGAGATGGAAATACAATCGTGTCTGGGAGTGGGAGTGGGCCACCTTGCGATTCAGAAGTTCCACCTTTCCTGATTGGGAAAGGTGGGCCGTCCCCACGTTAGAGTACCTTAGGAAGTAGGTAGGTTGAAGCTTCAATTCACTCATTCTCAGTTTCCATCCATTATCAAGATCTCCAAGCGTCTATAACTCTACACATAATATTTATTGCCATGAATTCTCTTCGAACCCCGACGCTGCTAAAGGGTCCTGCGAATGTTCGCACCATTCTTGCCGCGCGGCTCTATGCAACTCAAGTAGGCCTTGGAACATCCAATGCTGCCCCAAAACCCAGGAGAAAAGCCATAACACCCTTCAACGACGACGGTAGGGTAGCATGGGGTGATCTTTCTGCCGGAGAGAAGGCTGCAAGAACAACACAGCAGACATTCAACTTTGGGTTCATTTTGCTGGGTGCAGTCTTGACCGTTGGTCTTTGAAAATTATATCGGCACGATCCGTCCTAATTGTTTATAGGGAAGCGTAGGATATATTTTATACACCGAAGTTTTCTCACTCGATAGCAAGACACATCATTTTAATAAAGCCGTCGACCAAGTAAAGAAGGATCCAAGATGCACAAAGCTGCTGGGAGACAGCAAGAAGATCACAGCTTACGGAGAACCAACCTGGAACAAATGGGCAAGAGCGAGACCTATCGCGTATGTTCTCCCTGTGTTGGGATAAGGGAGAGAGCAAAAGACACTGACATATCACCAGCTCAACGCTAAAGACGGATCATTATGGAAGAGAGCACCTTATCATGCATTTCAATGTCAGTCTCATGGCTTGCTGGTTATATGGAACACTAACAACGCTTAGGTTGAAGGGCCCTTGAACAAGGGTGTAGTCAACTTGCACATGGTGAAGTCCACGCCAGATAGCGAACTCGGAAGCCAATTTGTTTACAAATACCTCGCATTGGATGTCAAAGGCCACCAAAGGATATACCTCGAGAACGCTGATGCTTCACTGGAAAGTCCTGCAAAAAGCAAGACCAAAATATTTGGTGTGTCCTGGCGATAATCATCTACGTTGGAATGAACTTTGCCCCTGGGAAAACCCGAATGAAATAGGACCACGCCGAGATGGGGAAACCCTGGAAGGAATACTACCATGGAACAGCAAACCGAGAAGAATCATCAAGATCTTGATGGGGTTCAGGGATCCCTGATAGGGAGATGCAGCTGTTCCGAGTCACCTCGCGAAGAATCAATGCTTGATTCATTCCGCATATTAAGTTCGGATATATAGTTCCAGCACTTAAGGGGACTACTACTATGAATTGAATGCTAGAGAGACAGTTGCTTGCATCGCCACTTAAAAGCAGGAACTCAAAATGGTCTGCCGAGTCTCATCTGTTTTGATTGAGATTTCTGGCAGTGTCAAACATTTTAATTTTTGGGGGGTCACTGCCATAAATAGGATTTCTAGCAATGGATACCCAACAATAACGCTGTAATTGTGCCACGCCATCTACCTAAATTTCCTAGACTGTAAGCCCAAGGCTATCGAATCCCATATTGGCTTACCACTACCGACTGCCGAGTCATTGCTAAAGCGTTTATTCCGATCATGTAGGATTGTTACAGTTCATGAGGTTGTATGTAACATCAAGCCCCAAGCTCTGAAGCATCGACAAGCAAGCTTCCAACGCTTGAATCCTGCCAACCCTATCTGTCTCCTCTCGTTGTACTCTTGCCATCTCAACTTCCAATTGTGCACCTTTTTCCTATCCGAAGAGCCTTCAGCCAACAACCTCACCGACACTAGACAATACCTCAGAATTTGTTCACAGAATTCCATCCATCCTTTCTTATTCTTGATTCCGAAGTCCCACGAATCGATATCGACATCAATGTCACGATGTTGCGTAAGCTCCTGTGGGCTAGGCCTCGGATACGTATATTCATTCGTTCACTCAACCCCCTTGCCCCCCCCGCCGCCCGAGTCATATGGTTTATATAAATTCACAATCGATACAACCTGCCCCATTCCTGTCTATTTGCGCAATATCTTACTCTTAGATATTATACCGCTATCAACTTCGCAAGTCGTACACTTTACGTTTTACACTTTAAACCCTTGAGCTTTGCTGGTGATCCAGCTACACAATATATACATATATTACGCTTCAAACAAAGGAAGCAAAACAGACTTCCGAGCCCCTTTCTTTCACTCGCTAAGTAGTCTTGCTAGCTAGCATTTTACGTACGAAAACCCCGAAGTAATGTTTAACGAACCTCATACTAGCATCTCACACAGGAAAATCCCAGAGAAGGAAGGAGCTATACGGCGAACGCAAATCCATGTCTGGAATGACTTTTTTTTACTGTTGAGACCTTTTCTCAGCCGTGGAAGTACTGTGAGAAGAAGAGGAAGAAGAGTTGGCTTAGGCTGGCTATCGGTGGGGGGAAAACAAAGTCTCCAATGGATTATGATACTTACAAGAAGCTGTAAAGCTGGGCTAGATTGGCTCGATTAAATTGAATCGGGTAGGAAGATGGAAGAGGGGGAGGGGGGAGAAAATAAAAGGTCCAGCAGCGAAGAGGAGAGAGAGAAAAGGTAGCTTGAAAACCAGAATTCAAACCGATCAGGTCCGAAGTACTGATTAAGCACCATGGGTTAACATACCATCTCTTCTACAAATACAACTCTCTTATTACACCACCATTCATAACCTCTTCTTTCCATATATATATTAAATCTTAAATCAGCAAGCTGCCCGCTTCCCGCTTATCCTTCTCTGCTCATCGTCTGATAAAATGCCATCCCGATTGCAAAGCACGAATTTTTCCAAATTCACAAGGGCAATTTCGAAACCACACTCTGTATTCCACACCGTACAAGATACAGAGCCGCAAGTATACATATCTCGCCAGCCTTCTCTGGTCCTTCTTTTTTACTTTCATGACGGCTGGCTATGGGAAGTGGGTTGTGGGCTGCTAGCTAGCGAAGCGATTTATATCCTTTGCTCTCCTCTCTATCTATCCAAGTAACCGCTCTGAAAGTGGCTAGGATTACAGTGACTGTGAGAAGTGCTTTCGAAGAATACAAAACCACGCTTGGCTTGGTCCCGATTCTCAAAAAAAAAAAAAAANAAAAAAAAAGGGAAAAAGGAAATGGAAGGAGTCGACGTTCTAGCATAGCTAGATAGGAGCAAGGCCTCTTGGCCACACAACCAACAACAACAGAAGTCATATCCAGAGTCACAATATCCAGAGAGGGAGAGATAATTTACGGGGGTTCGTAATCGTGATTCATTATTCGCACCATCTCGATTTGGTACGTGCTACAAGCATTACTTTTTCCCGCCTGGAAATCACCGGGCCGTAATGCTAACGCAGATGCACAAGCAGATGCAGATGGAAAGCGAAGCAGATAGGCCTTTACCGTCTGAGCTCATGCAATAGACTCTCAAGACTCCAAGTGCGCCCCGACGCCCCATGCCATGCCGGAAACCCAAATCCGAAGACCGTTCGACGCGCCTGAGAAACAAGCACCCTGTAAATCCATCCAAAAATATCATACAAACTCACTCAACCGCCTCAGCCTTGACGTCGTTCAAGTACTTGTGTCTCAAATTCCACTGCGTGTTGAATTTGTTCTCTAATTTCTGGCCTTGGATGTAGACAGGGTCACCCTCCTTCCAGAACTCATAACAGTTGCTGAAGATCTGGCGAATGTCGCTCTCGAACTCACCCGCGGTGGTATACTCATCTCGATCCATCTTGCCCTTGATTGTGGTCAGGTCCATCGGCTTCTTGATAACCTCCAGGTAGTTGGGCACGTTCTCAAGGACAGGATCGACCGGATGTCTGAAGGCCTTGACGAGGCGTGTCCAGTATCCGGGGCCGAAGACCATGCGGGTGATCAAGGCGCGGCAGCACTCGAGATCCTCTTCAGGAGACAAGGAAAGGACTTCGACGGCGGCCTTACCCTTGCCGCGAATAGGCTCGGAGCGACGGCTTTGCTTCTTGACGACTGGTTTGGCTTCATGTAAGTCATTCGGGCCAGTGGCAGCGGCGGCGGTACTGGGACCAACATCTGTTTTGCGGCTGCGTTTAGGTGGGCGAGGAGGGTCAGGGTCTATTTCTGCGGGTTGGTCTGATTGCACGAGAGGTTTCTTTCCTGGACCTTGAGGTGTATAAGCTGGAGCGGGAAGCTCACTCATGACGATGACAAGCTCGCTGAGAATTTCATGAGGGAGGGATGAGGCGAATGCCTTGCGTGCTTCGGGAGATGCTCGCACTAAAATGGTCAGGTTCGGTCTTGAGATGGAACGGGAAACATACTGTGCTCTGCAGACCATTTGATAAGCATATTCCGAAGACCGCTACCCTCCTGAGTGTCTTGCCAAGCTTGGATGAGGAGGGGTGTGCCAGGGTTACAAGAAGTCAATTGACGACGCTCAGTCATAGTCTCCAAAATGGCGACACGAAGCGGAGCCATTCTCAACTTTGTAGCTAGCTTCCACAAGCCCATGAGAAGAGGGTAATCCGGAATCTCTTTGCCGTGTACCTCATCATAGACCTTGCCAGTGTAGACAAAGTTCTGGAAGCAGCCAAAGACATCTACCGTGGTATCTGGGAGCTTGACGATGGATTCAATTTGTCTCTCAGTGGCGTTATTTTCAAATAGGTCTCGATAAAAGGGAGATTGGGCACATAGGAGGTTCTGTTGCAGACCGAAGGGGATCTCCTCAGGGCCAACGAGGACAATGACAAACTTGGGATGGGCCTCGCTACTCGGAAGTCAACATATAAGAGGGCATTATAGACAAAAAAATAAGACAAAAGGATAGGCTGGGACTTACTGCCATGACACCGTATTTGAGAGCTCACCTGCCTCAGCGACAAGATCATTACCTTGGTAAGACATGGCCTTAGAATGGGGAGTCTTCTGTCGAGGAGCTTGGGTTCGGGAGCGATGTGGAACGCGACGCTCGCTCTTCTCAGGCGCCGGTGAGGAGTTCTGATTGATGGTGACGGGCATCGAATTATTGTATGCAATCGTCGATGAACCGTAGTATGCGAGCTCCTCAGGTGTGAAAGAGCTATTCGGCCACATCGAGGTCAGTATATGCTATTGCTAGTAGTATATGAAAGGGGAACGTCGACTTATGAGTCGGGTCGAGAGATGAGTTTCTGCTAAGGCAAATCGACAGCCCCAAACGGTTGGACTTATACCATTTCACTTAGAGAATGAGATTCCTTTTAAAGCAGCTCAAAAGAACTCCAGACTCGCCGCCGATATGAACGTCACTCACTACATGCCAACCACTGCGAGATTTTCAAATGTCGCAACAAGGTGGGGCACGGCGACAAGGAAATTGATAAACAAAGAATATTTCATAAAACGTACCTCGATGCTTCTTCGCCGTTCCTAATTATCGGATTCATCGCAGCCAGAAAATTATATTCTTGAACATAACTGTGGTCGAAGGTCAGTGACATGTATGATATTAGGGCAAGAGCGTTCTGTGGCTGTCGACTACGTTGGCCCTGAAGTATTCAAGTGCTATTGCAGTACGCCTTAAATATAAGGCTTCACCCCTTTGCTACTACAAAGTAGCTACCGAAGGAGGCTAAAAATGTCAACAAAGCTTAGTCGATTGAATACAGTCGCTCATGTTGTGGTGAGAAGGCTAGAAATAAAGCTTTTCTATCTTTCTAACTTATTTTTATATAGACTTGCATTACTTCAGTGCCCATGGGTATCACAGCCAGAATCAAACAGGGCTTGAAATGCGGCCACGGCTAGAGCGCTTCACGTTCGAGACAAATTGGTTCCTCCTCCTCCAAAACAATGTCAAGGTAAGTATTGACGGCTTCATGCCTCTTGAATACTCATTATCTGGCCACGAGAGACTCCCGACTCATGTTGCTTCCGTCTCCCCACGGCTAATTACAGAGATACCCTCCACACCCTCCCTATCTCATCGATCCTTAAGCGCAACATGTATTGCCAACCCAGCCATGAGAATCAAACACAGTACCAACAACAAAACGCCACCCTACCACAGCCCCCGCAAACTCCAGATTTTCCCTTAGGTATCCATCTTCCAACCCATACCAAACCCACCGACTACACAACCACAGGCATCATTCGTGTCACACATCCACACCTCGTACATGGGTGAACTCAACACCACAGTCCAAGCCAATGTAGAAATCTGCGGGATCACATTCAACGCCCAATTGATTGTGTTGGAAGTAGACCCCTATGACAGACCTTTATATCGGTGGCAGATGAAGGCATTGGCAGGCATTGATAGGCTGAGACGAAAGTAGAAGGTGAGTAGTCCGCTGGGTTGTAAGTGGCAGATCGCTAACATTTTCGAAAGGTAGTAGAGGAGATGACGTATTGCGCCAGCTGGAGGATGCGAGGAAGAGGCGTTGTTTGGTTTGAAGATACGTTGCGTATTGGTACTCTTCTGCTCTGCTCGTATTAGTCAGGGAACTCAAAGCTGAGCCAAGATATCTATTATCTCCACGAGTAATTGATGGCTTACCATCTTCATTACCAGCATTGAATCAAATTTAAGATACCAGGGTAAGACTACTAACTAACCTGCTTCAAGCCCGGCTTTGAATGAAAGTTGAAATCAGAATCAAAATCCCGGTGTTATCTTGATCCACTGATAAGGAAGGCGACGGCTCGAGGTTTACATTTTCAGTCTCGTAGTAAATTCACGAAAAAATAGTCTGTCAGAGTGGTGACTATTCCTACCGGCTATCAGCCTCTGGCAATTGTGTGTGCGCGTCATTGGAATAAGAAGCACGCAGCTTACCAGCATTGACCGTCAATACCACCTCCTCGCTAGGCCCTGCTCAAGCAGGCGATCGCGACAACAGTACATAGGTACCTAGTTCCAGCCACTCTGGAAATCATCTACCCAACGGCATCTCACACCTCGATGATGAAGTTTTTCTTGTAACCGACACAAGAATTTGGATTATGGATATTTTCTTCATTGAGATTTCAAACCCAAGAAAGCAATGCATTCTAGGAACATTTAAACTCCTCGCAGTACCGCAGAACACCAATGCAGACCCCAAACCAAGCGAAAACACAGGTATTTCTTATCAGAGATTAAACTCCAGCTGATACAGAGTTAAGCAGTACAGGTACTTTTAAAGCCCATGCTAGGAAAACAAAACGCATCGCCAATGGCAACCATAAATGACGGGAAAAGTACAAGCAAGGGCAAAGTCAGAGATCAACGCGATCTAAAAATCAAGATGAAGCAAAACTAGGCATCGCAACTTGCGATCGAACACTCCCCCACCCTCACAAATAGAACATGCAGTTGTCAAGACTCTTCGGCCAAGGGTTAATACGTCCATCCGTTGCATCTCTCTTCCATACTTTGGGATCAATCCGAGCATGTCGGACATAGCTGGGAGTATTCTCCAACGTCTCCGGCGAAGAAGTTGCCGGAGTGATGTTCATCGAGGAGCTGGAAGAAGGAGCAGCAGTCTGAGCAGTCTGAGCAGTGGGAGCAGCGATTACGTGCGACATGTCGAGGACGGGCTTCATGTAGCAGCGAAGCCGATCGCACAGAATATCGGCATAGCGGGCCGGGGTGCATACCGAGACAGCTCGGGTCGCTCTGGCGCTCGTGTAGCATATGTTGTTCGTCTTCAACTCAAGTTAGTCATGGGGAGTGAGAGAAGGGTGGTTGGAGCGAGCGTCTTACAATTTTCTGCAGCGCCATGGGTTCTTGGCCCGCGTCGTCGTAGAGGACGACGTAGTAGGCAGTACGAGCTGTACCCAGCTCGCTCGTGTGACTTTGGAGGTAGAAACTCCACTGGTTCGGTGTCACCACCTTGTTGTCAACTACCATGCCACACGCAACATTGACATCCTCTTCGCTGCCAGCGCTGACCTTCTTTTCCGGATAGAAGCGGGCATGATGTCGCTTGGTGACGACAATCAAGGTCAATTTTGGTACCCATTTCTTTGCGCTTGCTGGCACATCAGGCCACTGTCCCTTCATCAGCCTCGCAAGGGCATTTTTGCACCCCTGGAAAATCTGCGGCTTCTCTTCGTGCAAGACCATGCCATACTGACTCTCGCTGACTCCGTCGCGATAGAACAGAATCTCGCTGGGCAATACCTGGGCAGTGTCTCTGAGCGACTTGTCCTCTCTAGCCTTTTCGACCCAGGCCATGACCCGCTCCTCTACCATGCCTTGCAAGTCCTGGATGTACTGCCCTGCATCAGTTAATGTTCATGGCATAATTAAGACCGGATGCATACCTCTTGTCTTCCCTTTTGAAGCCGAGCGGAGGCTAGGTAACAGCTCGATTCGTCGTCATTCGTCGCAACAACGCCCGCCATAGATGGACAGTTCTCAAGACCTTTGCCAGGATGTGTGACATCGGCTCCCATGATCATTGTGCGAAGATTAGCGCCAGTCATTCCTTTAGGTTTAAATGTCCTTTGGCCAGTAGGTTCGATCTTATGGCTGACTCCTTTGAGCTTGAAGTTCATCTTGAGGCTTGAATAGGTTAGGTTTAATAAGCTGCCATTAGATGAATGAGAACACGTACCAGATATTTGCTCTGAGCTTAGGGTCAGCTTTGACTTTTCCGAGCTTAAATGCCGTGACACATACAGTCGGGATACCAACTACACAGTCGCCCCATCTCTTCACTTCTTGGTAGAATTTGATATCTTTCTCCTCCAAGACTACTAGAATAATGGTGGCTCTCGGGGTACCAAATTCGTTTGCAGCACTACGGAAAATAAATTCACAGCGGCTTCGGTAATCCGTTCCGGTATTTCTTGGGCCATTCAGATCCGCCATACTTTGAATGGACCATACGATCGCAGGTTCGTTTCCCGTGATCCCATAGCTAGACAGGTCAGCGTTCAAGGCGCTGACCCCTGGCAAAGCTTCTTTCTTTTTGATGAAGCTCATCACGCAGAGCCTTTGACATTGGACTGCTTTGTAGTAAAACTTCTGGCCAGTAATCCGCCACTCGCCCTTGATAGTTTCAGGGTGCTTGAATCTGTCGCCCTTCTGGTCTGCCATCTTGATTCTCGGACTAGGCAGGAGAGGAACGTTCATGTTGATCATTTTCGGAGAAGGGACCATACCAAATGACTTCGTTCACATTAGTCATGGTTCATCCTAATACAGTCGAGTAAGACTCACCTTGTAGAAGCTCTGCAGTGGCTTCAAACCTAGGACTTTAAGACCTTCTGCCAGAATCAATTCCATATTCTGCTGAGGCTTCTTCGTTGCTGCAGTGACCATTGAAATGCCAGACGCTTCTTCAACTGACTCTTTCGCGACTTGCCAGTCAACAATCGTCAATTGGTTTGCTGGGTACAAGATCTCGTTGTTAACGCCCCCGACATTGATGACGAAAGAGTTCTGATCTGCAGTGCTTGCGTGGTATGTTTTGGGGTATTCTATTGAAAAGGTCAGCAATACACATTAGCAGGGACGAAATACACGTACGGCGTTGCAAATAAGTGGCGAGTTTTATGATAGTCCCATCCTTTTCTTTAAATGATGTTTGAGAGACACGATTTGGAGTGAGGTTTTGAATGACCCAAAGGCGGCTGTTAGCGCCGTGAAGCAACAATTTAACCCGAACATCCTTCAGCTTTGCCTTGAATGACCCAGGTCCAGGAAAAGACCCAGACCATGCCAGTTCCATCCAGTTTTGTAGGTTTCTGGGCGAAAGGAATGCCGTTGTTACGGTGTTGACATTGAGTAGAACAGAATCTTGACCAGGACGCATCGAAGAAAAGAATCCATGTCGAAGAAAGTAGATCTCTCGCCTCTCCTCTGACTTTCTCCCTTCCGCCTCTTGACTTGCTGGATAGAACTTGTTCCCTGCTCGACCAACAAGGTTAGTGGTATCAGGCTTGGTGATATCTTTCCAAGAGATGATATTGAGTGCCTTCAGAACTTCGCCTGGATTCTCCATACTTTCCTTGCCATTCCCTCCGACATGGTTCTTCAAACCGGCTATGTCAACCTGACCAACAAGCGAGACAGAAGTCAGCAGACGTGGGGGAGGAACTCGTGGAGGTTTGTTGCTTTTGTGCGGATTCGGTGGTGCAGCGGGTGGCTCTATCAGAACTCCCAACTTTTCTGGAGGATACAGACTTCCGACAGAAATGATGGTGGAGTCCCAGTCTGTGGCCCAGTTCCCGTGAGCGGGCTTGTTCTTGCTCAAATAGTTCTGAATCAAGAACCGCTTCGTCTCTTTCTTGACCCTTCTCTTCCTTTTGAAGTCTGGCCCGACCCCATCTTCATCACCGTAATCGTCACCAGAGAGTGTCTCCTCCTCGACAGTGATGCTGTATTGTTGGAGCCGAGGGGTCTCGAGCTTGATCTCGAAGAAATTGGCCAGTATGTCGGCGCTCTTCTCTTCAGAGCTTTTTGCCGTTGATCTCTTGGATGGCATACTCTTCTCGGCACTAGCCCACGACTTCAACTGAGCAAGCTTGGGATCATCTTCCTCGACTTGCTTAGCTGGCGCTGTCTGGCGGGGGGTTCCTTTGCTGGGACTTGAGATAGATTTTGAATGGCTCTTTGGCCGAAGAGAGAGGTTTCTGGACAGGGACCCCGTCGGTGGTGAGTTCGGTGGTGACTTGGCGTTTGGTGACTGTAGATTCTTTGATGCCTCGATTGCGGCAAGAGCTTTCGCACGGTATGATGGTGTGAATTGGTTGATTTTGGCATCCGGGAGCTCCGCATATGGCACGTTCTTCGTGAGAGGACATGATTTATGGGGGTTGCTCTGGTGATCTCCGTGGCCGCAGGCTCTGCACGGCGGGTTGATGTGATCGGTGCATTGCTCGTATTCATGGCCTTCCTGGAAACATTGATCGCAAGTCTGCTCGTCGTAGGGATGATAATCAGCCCTTTTGCATTGGGATGCTTTATGATCGGCAGGAACTCCACACTTTGCGCATCCCTTCGGAGCCATCCTGGCGATCTAAACAGGCAATTCGCAACTCGCAACTACGCCGCAAGAAAGACTGGAATAGCCCAAAGACGGACGAAGTTTCCCAAAGGGAATAGGAGCAAAGACGATTTCTTGCCGATGAGACTGGCTCTCATAAGCGAACAGATGAGCCACTATATAGCAAGTTGACTGTTCCCTTGGCGATTGATTTCTGATTGCTGGAGGTATCATGACCAGCGACATGAGGTAAGAAATGCAGTAACTGACCGAAACAATCGAGTTGATTGAGTTTGAGGGAAGACAGGATAAGGGAGAGGGCGGTTTGGGTTGAGCTGCAACATCGCCTTCATCTGCTATCGGCAGCGATATTTTTTTGGTATAATTGGAAAACTTTAACCTGACATAGCTAGCTAGGCATCAAAACCCATGTGAACGAGAGCTACAGACGCGGCAAAGGAAGAAAAGCACCGCGTGACACGGCCGTAAAGCAATGCGAACGCTTCTTAAACACTGTCCCCAATGTTCTGTTGGAAGACATGGGAGGGACAGACAGAGGAAAAGTCACCTGGTCGTCCCTTAACTCCCTCGATTATACGCTATGTCCAAAAGCGCAATGTCCATTTGATGTTTGGCTGCTCTCATGACTTCTTGATTGAGCCATCACGAATGCTAGCGCTGAAGAAGGCGAGGAAGGAGCAATTGTACTTGAGGTAAGTAGGACTGGACGCAGCAACAAACCGCTTGGAATTATTTTGCTAAGATGCAGGAAAAAGAAGGAAGCGCTCCCTAATCTTGGAACACCTGGACTTCAGAATTCAGGACAGTGGTCGCATGATCGAAGTCATCAATAGTATAAAGCAAGGAAATATCCTGTAGAAAATGTGATTGCGCCAAGGATTGCCCCAAGCGAGAAAATATGCAAATACGCCCTATGATACACTTACTTTCCGACCAATTGCCTGAATGTCAATCCTGTAACAAATCACTCTTAAGTCCAAAAACCTAATCCTCATCGAACACCTCCTCAACTCGGGGCGCCATATGTCTTTGCTGGGTAGTGCTTGAAGTCTGGATTTGGGGTGCTGCGCCGGAGGTGGTAGCTGTAGCGGGAGCGGGTTGTCCTGTAAACGCAGCCATGGTTGCGCCTGCATTTGCAGAGCCAGTTGACTTCGTCTTCTTCTTGCCTTTCTTTTTCTCCTGCAGCAATTGTCAATTCCCGTCAGAGATCCCACGATACGAAGCCAAGACTCACCTCTTGCCAGCCCCAAAGAGGTCTGAAACTATCAAAGAATCCCACGTCCTCAAACAGGTTCGGGTATAACCAAAGTCCAGGCGGAACGGCAAACATAGTGATCGCGAAGAGAATGAGCCGGAAGATAGCCATAACGAAGAACAGACCTATAAGTCCCAGCATGCCCATACTAAGATACCAGACTCCAAGGCGGAGCTTCATGGGCCAGAGCGGGAACATGACAATAGTGAACACCAGAGCCAGCGCGCCGGCAGCGTACAGTTTCTGTTTAACCTGCGCACCATCATAGAGCCAGACGAAATGGAGGTCCTCGCGGCATTCTTGCTGTTGCTCGATCTTAACGGTCCAGAGACCCTTGACTCGCTTGGTCTTGTGGGCTCCTGGGGCGTGATTGTGGCCTTCATGAGGGTCGGACTTGGAGACACGGAGGGCGAGCAGAGACATGGGGAGGAGCTTAAACGCGTTCTCGAGGGATGCGCGGTCTGTAATTTCGGGGAGGAGGGGGTTTTTGGAGCGGGCTTTGGCGTAGGCTGGGGATTCAAGAGCGCGAAGAGCACGTTTGACTGTGCGACTGAATTAGTAAACTGCATCGGAACAGCTTGGGTTCGAAGTACCTTTAAACATGTCCTTGCGCTGGCCGTTGAGGATACATGTCCGCAACTTCAGATCTTGTCCTTTCAGGAAGTTTGCGACGGCTAGGGCCTCTGGCTTTGGAGGGCCGGGTTGAATAGGCTGATGCTGCTGTTGCTGCTGTTGCTGCTGCTGCTGGGCTTGAGCCTGCGCCTGTTGCTGTTGAGCCATTTGTTGTTGAGCCATCTGCGCTTCTCTCATCTTTTGAATATATGCCGGAACACTCATTCCCATCTTTTCGGCCTCCGCGAAGAGTTGCTTTCTCATCATCTCGATTTGCTCCGGGGTTGGCTGCGGTTGTCCCGGCGGCGCTCCAAAGGTGATCTGTGGTTCGCCTTGAGGTTGCCCTTGGGCTGGAGGCCCTTGGGGAGGTGGTTGTTCACTCGCCATTGTGGTTGCCTGGATTTGGTGACTTTGGAGGTGTGGATATGTAAGGAATGTAGAAGAGTTCTTCGAGAAAGAGAAGGCTGAGAGTTTTGCGAATGAAGTGTTCACATTTCCTCTAACGCCACGGTGGCTGATCCGGCCCGAGCGTTTTTCCGCAGCACAGAGGTCTAAACCCAAACCTAAACATCTACGGAGTATGCGTGCAGTACCGGTACCGGTACAGCATCCGCAAGAGGTTTTATGTATGTTACGACGTCGTTATGGCTTTACGCGCTTTCGGATGTTAATTTATATTACTATCTCATTGCTCAATCTCTATCCGAGGTGGCGTCTACGGACCGATCCCTTTCCTTATAACGGGCCTCCGGCTCATCCGATATTTGACCCGTCAAACATTCTGTTTTGAGCCCAATGCCGTTGGTTTTTGCGGAGGATGAGTGAGAACTACGATCCGCGTGTGAACATCACACTGGTGGATAACTACGATACGGTTTGGCTGGTATATAAGTTTCAATTCCAATTCCAATTCGAATTCCAATTCCAGTCCCATCTCAGATCCATGCTCACGTGCTGACACCCGTCTAGTCACAGAGAGATGCAGCTCTAAGAGTTCCCATCAACTTTGTTACCACTCCAGGCGTGTCACTTACAGCCGCTTGCTTCAGTGATAATCGGTATGCTGATGATGCTACGGGAGACTGTCTCTCGAATCTCTTAGCCGTCGGATTCCGCAGGTTTGAGATAGACTTGTACTGGGACGAAGGGCGTAGTGTCTGGTCATTCTGTCCCGTTGCTATTCCGGATTCGATTTCAGATCTATCGACTCCAACGACAGTTTCAAGTAGTTCTGCTTCACCAACTATTCAATCATCAAATCCAACGACCTCTTCATTCGCAATATCGATAGGGACCTCTCCTACCAACCCAGTCCTGAGAGCTCGGCAACTTACTCCAGACACCCCATTAGACGTTCCCACCAGCACTACCGCTGCATCGGAAAAGGCAGCGAGCTCTCTTGGGGACGTCATCCCTAGCGTCTCAGCTATCCCGAACTTCTCCAACCAGCCCACAATTGCCATTGGACCCTACGTCTGCACTAACACCATCAACCTCTCCGTATTGTTTTCTCTCTTTTCAGACTACATACAGAAGACACAAAGAACTCTTGAAGCCCAACTCATATACATAATCCTCAACATCCACGCCGCAGCATCCTTTGAATCGCCTGGCTCTCCCGCCCCAGAACCTTCAGTCCTACCTCGTGGTCCACAATTATTGGGAAACCAGTTTATTAGCAATCTATCTGAGTATATCTACTCGGACTCGGATCTATTTTCGGATCGGGCGAATCTGAACAGTACTTGGTTCCAGGTCAATGAGGAGTTCAAGAAACCTGCTGAAGGTTACTACGGGATGGTGGAAAACGATAACGGGATCCTGACTACGGACGATGGATGGCCGTCAGAAGCATACATCACTTTTGCACAGAGTAGAAGATTGCTTGTTGGCTGGGGAACGATCGATCCGCAGATGGCTGGTTACAATTTCAGTGGAGACTCAGGGACCATCTTCAACGCAGGTTTCATCAACGATGTCCAGACGGACGTGAATGCAACTGCTGATGGGCAGTTGACCAGTGGATGCTTCATCCGCAATGATACGAAAAATTTGGAATCGATAAATTCTTCTTGGGCGGTTGCAACAAACCTCTTTGAATTTACGTATCCAACGATAGCGTCAGCTGGTAAGCCACCCCCTTTCAGTGTGACATGCAGCGCTAACACGCGAGATCTAAAGATCTCACACCTCTTCTCAGTCTAACGCATAATATAACAAACTGCGGCATCTCTCCGCATCTGAATAGTACTCTCCTCAATTCCACCGCCGAGCTCAACTTCCAAGCCTATGAAAACTTCACCCAGGCAACGTAAGCGAGCACTCCTCCTCTCCGATCCTCAAGATTCGCCAAATCATGAAACAACGCCGCTCAAATCCTACCGAAAGAAGAGAGAATACTAACAAAGCTAAGGATATGGTCCTGGGCCCCCGGCGAACCGCGCACCTTCCCCCCAGAATCCCCCACAGACGAAATATCATCAAACTCTATGTTCCGCTGCGCCATCTCCAACAAAAATCTCCTCGGCTGGGTCGTAGAAGACTGCTCACAGAAACGACATGCGGCTTGTCGAGCTCGTGGCCAACCATACAACGTGCGCGCCACCTTCATCTCTCCCCCCGCCTCCGTTCCAATTGTCCTCGCTTGCAAACGCGATGTCTCAGAAGTACCGGAGAGATTACAGGCTGACGATGCCAAATAGTGGACCCTCGCCAACGTTCGAGTATCCTACTCCTTCGCCGACGAAAATTGCCCAGATGACTACGATTTCGCAGCCCCCCGCACAGCTTTAGAAAATGCGTACCGTAAGTCTTGCCCCCCTGCCTCTTTACCCCATCCCACTCCAACTCTCTTCCTGTTTTCGCTCCCCCCCCCTCCCCTTGCTCTCTCTGGGGAAAAAAAACCCCCCTCCCAAGCAACAACCCACAGGGAACAAGCAAGCCCCCAAATCTCCATTTCACTACAATCGTAAACGCTAACTGAATTCTATCCATGCATCTAGTGACAGAAGTAATGCGCACTGCAGACCGAGATTTGGACGGTCATGGGGCCTGGATTGATTTCAACAGCCTCGACATCCAAGGTTGCTGGACGAGCGGCGGTCCGAACGCAACTTGTCCTGTAACCTCCCTATTTCCATCCTCCCATACCATTCATCTATCTCTCTTTCTCCACCGTCCCATTCCCTTATTTCCTTATCCTTTTCCACGATTTTTCTCTTCCTAACCCCGCTCCTTTTGCTCCTCTATATATGCCAACTTATTATCACCCGCTTACGCTCCAGCAGTGGACCCCACAGGTCACGCAGTCCATGGAACTCACGCGGAGAAGGATCTTGGTTCGTTTTATATTTTCTGTTTTCGTTTTCCCCCTTCTCTCGTTACCCCCATCCATCAAGCCAATATATGTCTCCACGTTGCGAAGGCCCACCGCGGTTCTAACGCAAGGCACCAGGTCCCCGCCATAGGCGCCGTCCTAGTCCTCGTCCTCTTCACTATCTGGCTCGAGCTGAAATGCTACGGAAACCGACGCACCAGCCGCCGGAGCCGCCGCCGCCGGAGGAGAGCCGGTGGGGTTGTGATTTATGAGGGCGTGCCATCATGATCTGCCTTCAGAATCTGTATCTATATCTCCATCTACAACTCCTCAGAGGAAGGCAGGACTTGTCCATTCAGCCATTCAGCCATCCATCCACCCCCTTCGCGACAGGTGGACATGAGGCTTCGATCACCCTCGATATCACAATCGTTCAATCCGTCGATCCTAATTCGTTCCTCACAGACGCGCCTCAAACCTGCGCCTCATACAAGCCCCCAAAGCTCAAACTCGAAACTTTCACTGAAACCGACACCTCACTGCCCGTGTCCACAAAGAGTGGACCTCCATGTCTAGTTGTGTATAAACCGCCAACCAACCAACCAACTAACTTGCCGCTCTATCCTTTCTTCTGAGAAACAGGGAGAGATAGACATAACTAACTAGGTATATATATAATGTACATCTAAGTATCCATACTCCTATTCATCTCAACTCCTTTCCTGCCCGTTTCGATCCTTTACATATGTACATACATGGCTATGCAATCATGCAAGCATGTATTCAAGCTGTTGTAACCGGTCCGATGGGATGAATGAAAGCGAGTTATCCTGCGAATAGGCGACGTGGAGGTTAACCTGTCGGTCAGATATGTGGTTATCTATGAAAGACGCATTGAAAGGAAGAAGAAGCTACTTTGTCAATAAGGAAAAGGCGCATTAGAGCAGAAAAAAATAAGATGAAGGAGGGAAGAGGGAGAGGGTGCGTGGGGGTAGGGTTGTGAAAACCGAAGGAAATCGGCTATTTGTGTGTATGGATTGTTATTCGTTGTCATGATATCGGTTGATTTGATTTGATGTAGGACGGTAATACCTATCTATGAATTACAATTGACGAAATGAGACGATACAATCTGATATATATTATAGTCCAATCGCAATAATACATATACATAGACATACACGTATTGCAATTGAACAAGAAATTGGTGGAGTTGAGGAGCGGAATCATTCACTTATCAATTTTGTTTTCCGAGCCAAAAAAAAGAAGATACAATGGTACAGAGCGTAAACAGATGATACGCGAGATATCTATGATTAAGAAACGATTGTAGGTAGGCAATCCAGATGTTGACTTCCCGCTTCCCCTCCCAACACCTAGGTACCTGCCCCGCCCGAAGCCCAATTCCCAAATCCAAAAAACTCAAGCATGACTATGAATCAGCCAATCAGTCACTCCTACTCAGCCAACCCCACCAACACAAAAGACTCTCTAGACGCCAGTGAACCCATCAGTGAACCCATACGTTATATATCCCGATGATTCCTCGCTTTCTTCTGTGTGCAGCTGGCTGCCAAATTTTTCCATACGCCAGTCCAAGACAAAGATACCGCAATGCTGCACTGTGCCATCTACCTTATCTAGTGATGCAAAAAATCGGTCTCGCTGACATCGCTCCCGACCTCCGTCCATGAGCTGGGCGTTGGAATGCCGTCCCCATCAAGGCTCATCACATCAGCCTCGCTCGTGGCACCACTGCGCGTGGCCCAGACATCCTCGCCGGAACCAGCCAGCGAGACAGAGTCCGTAGGCGTGGCCTCGCCACTGCCAGGGACTGAAACATCAGGGTCGCTGAACGTAGGCGAGCCAGGGCGGACTTCCAGCCGAGGGGTAACTGAGCGGGGAGTCACAGGGAGCGGGGAGTAGAAACTAGAATTTGCGTTGTCGGCCCACGCGTGGATCGAAGCATAAGCGTCGTTGTTCCGAGCCATGGAAGCGTAGTTGTTGGAGGTCTCGGCCAGCATAGGCTCTTCCATGGAAGGGTGCGAGACAGGCGGATCTGGGGCGGTATGAGAGTCGGAAGTTTTGACGGTTTGCTCTGCGGCGATTGTGGCGGTACTTTGTCGGGATTCCCTTGGCTCTTCCTGAGCAGAGTAGAGGTCACTCATGGCATCCGACTGCTCACATGCCTCTGGCGACAACAGGCTCGCGTCCATAGTGCGCTGCTCTTCGGACTCGATGCCGTTCTCATCGCCGAAGGGATTTGCGTAGAAGGATCCTCTATTCAGCCCCCGAACACCGCGTTGGCGGAGTCCCTCTTCGGCGTCGGCGTGAATGTCGGCGCCCGTGTTATACACGTACGTGCCTTTCTCAGCAGACTCATCTTGCTGCAAAAAATCGTCGAAACTGGACCCGCGGCCCCGGATTCCCGGCCGATCCGCACCCGCCACCTTTCGCTCTTTCTCCAGCTTCTCTAGATGGACGGCGTTCCAGTGCATCAGCTCCTCGCGCTGCCGGCGCTTAGACTCCTCGTCGCCATCCATGCCGGGATCAGTGCCAGCCTGGCTCTTGAGGAAGCCCTCTGCATCTTCGGGACGGTTGAATCGGGGTCCTCGTTGGGGGGCGGGGTTGATCTCGTCGCCGAGGGAGTGCAGGGCAACTGCTATGCGGCGGCGGACATCTTCGGCGAATTGGCGTGCTTGGGGGGATTCATAGACGGCGATGGCAGCCTTGAATGGGAGTTAGTTGATGTGGTTTCGGGAATTTTTGTGGGAATACTCACAGCGACGGCTGCTGCAACGACGATGACGGCGCCTGAAACCACGGCCGGATGAGAAGGCATTCTTGCAATTTGTATAATAGAGACTTGGGGGTTGGGGGGTTTAGGAGGAAATGGAAATGGGAAGCAAAAGCAGGAGACAGGTTCCTGCTAGGAGAATTGTAGGAGTTCTGGACACGGAGAGATCTCGACGTCGGTGCCTCGAAGGCGAGAGTTACATGCGTGAGGCGAAACCGAGGTGTATGGGGTGTCACGAATGCGCGGGAGTCGGACTAACCTTTTACCGCCAGGAGGGGCATTTTGATGGAACTGTTTCTGGGTTGGAAGCGAAGTTCAAGATTACAGAAGTAAGTGAGTGAGTGAGTGAGGGAGTGAGTGAGTGTATAAATGGAATTGAGGGAGTGAGAAGAAAGATGTATAGAAGGAGAGAAAGATAGAACGGAGCGGAAGAAGGGAAAAAAAAGAGAACAAGTACTTGTTTATGGTCGGACCCGTCGTAGCAGGGCCAGTCCGGCTCCGACTAAAACTAAAAAAAATACCAAAGTTGGACTTACTTATCCGTCCAATCTTGCATAAGTCCGTGTGGTGTGGAAAGAAAGGCATTAATCAATTGAATACTCGGTAACTCGGGAACTTACAAGTTACAAAGTTGAGTTTCTGTACTTCATACGTACAATACCATGATCATCGGTTTCGCCTCCCCCCACATACGCCCCACCCACCCACCAACCAGGAGGTCCGGGTGTTGGGTCTCGACTTTCACCCCGCCACCATCACCGCCACGTCTAGGTGCCTTATCGTTATCAGCCATGTGGCATCGTGGCGTCGTGGCGTCGTGGCGTCGTGGCTGTGCTCTTCCCTCGCTTGAGCTGGTGAATCAATATTGATCTCGCCCCTTGACAACAATCAGGTCCGCCCTGATATTCTCCATGTCTTAGTGAGGGGGGTTAACTTAAGGGATTTGAAGGCGCGGTATAGAAGGATGATATTGGATATTGGATTGAAGAGAACGGAAGGAAAGGAAGGATTTTGATCAGCTTAGCAGCATACCTATCTACGATAATGAGGGGGGTTGAAGTCCCGTTACACGTGCACCCAGCTGGGCCCCGGTTGGTGATTGATGGGTGGAGGGCGTGGTGTTGGGTGATCTTTGGGTTAATGCTGACCCGTTAAACGTACGATAGAGGCGGAACTGCGATTCTAAAAGATAAAAAGAGATGTTGCGCGTAGTAATGCTGCATAAAAAGAAAATAAAAGAACAGTTATGTACACGAAAGCACCAACAGCAATATGAAAAGATAAATAAATAAATCACAAATCCCTAATTCCGCGCCACCACCGTTGCGAACCCATTTCCGCCTATGCAGAATCTAGCTCGGGAGTCTGGAATCTTGATCCATATAAAAATATCTACATATCGCTCCCAATCACTTCTTTTACTCCCCGAAGCCCTCCGAGAAAATACTCTTCCGCTTGCTGTCACGAGGACTCCCACGTCCTTGCGGCCTCGTCGTACCCGTCCCAATATAACCTCCTCCTTCGCCTTCAACCCCCGGCGGCGTGAGCGGACTCACGGCGCTCGGTCTCACTCCCACTCTCTCTACGCTCTCAATCCGCGGCGAGGCAGGAGCGGGCGTTGATCCCATCCCTAGATGTTCTATCGTCGTCGGCGGCGTCGCATATGCGACGTCCGTACTGATGACGCTCGTCTCACTTATGGCCCTCATATTATGCCCAGGCTGCTCGCGTTCACTAGAAGCATTGCTCACCGCGCTGACCATATGGGTCTGGTCCTCGGGATGCGGGGTTGAGCCCTCGCGGGGAGACGAGAGAGGCGAGACTCGCAGTCTTGAGGGAGAGGAGTCCATTTCGGAAATATGTGACACGGAGCTCGCTTGGGATGTCTGCGATGTGACAGAGGGGGAAGAGGCGAGACCATTTGGGTGGCGGAGGTTTCTCTTTGAGGCGCTGATTGCGACGAAGCCTGTGCCTGTATCGTGGAGTTCGGCGGGGACGCTCGTGTCTGTTTGCGTCAGTATCGTATTCTTTTCGGTGGAGTCTGGTTGAGAGGACGTTTACGAGAGGATGGGGAGAGAACCTACCCATCATTTCGTGGACCTGGCGGCCGCCCATCTCAGGCAAATCTAGTCTCTTTTCCGAGTACGGATTTCCAACGGATTCATCTGTCGTCATAGTTGGCGCTTTCGCGTCCACGGGTGTCGAGCGCAACCAGTTTGCTACCCAGTTCCTGGTGTCCATCGTCCCAGCTTCGCTCGGCCTGCCAGTACTACGGCGCAGGGTTTTGCGGCGACGATATAGCAGGATGGCGAGAACAGTGAGCGTGGTTAAGAATAGGCCCAGGACTACGCCTAAGACGGGCGCCAAATAGCCGGGTGTTCCAGAGCTCTTGCTGCCTGAGATTGGGGGAAGCGTAGGGCGCGTCGTATTCCCTGGCGATGCTTCTTGGTAGGGATACCAGTTAGTGATTTTAGTGCTGTTGTACGGTGTTGCAAAAAGAGGAGTCATGGCAGGATCTGCAAATCCAGAAGAAGGAGATTTTTGAGTTGCACCGCCGGTAGCTGTTCCTCCGAGCATCGATTGCCATGCGTCTGGGATGGAGTAGTTACTCCAGACTTTCGGGTCGTAGGATTCGATCCAGGCGTTGCTTGAGAGATTGTATATTTGGATGATGCCGCCTTCGACACAGCTGAGGGTAGTGCCAGATAGAGAAGTGTAACCGCCGATGACGAGCATTTGGTCTGGGTATGGCTTTACACATTTGTGGCCAGCACGAGCGTGGGATGATGTTCCACTATTCATCTTCATCCATTTGAAGGAGGGGATTGAGAGGATATAGACAGCGTCGCTGAAGTCGCCTGCGGGGTGCAGTCCATCAAAGCCTCCATACCAGTAGATGTTGTGGCTCGATCCATCTTGCGCTGATGCTAGCACGGTGCAGCCTTGCATCAAGGCAGGTGGAGGGTCAGTTGTAGTCTGTTCGTACCATACCTCTTTTGCAACGTCGTACACAGCAACCGAAGACATAAACTTGGGACTTTCAGTCTCCTCGAGTACAGTTAGCATTGGAGTGTTCTGATAGATAGATGACTTACGCTTATACTGGTCGAGGAAGCATTGTTCGTCTGATTGACATTTGCATAAGCCGGATATAAGACACCCCCAATCGCGACCAAAATCCCCTTTTCGGAGACCGGTACCCAAACGAGTTCTGCGCTGGCCCTTCCGGGCACAGTGGTTGGCAACGTTGTATTCTTCCAGGTCTCTTTTCCTTGAGTCGTCATATCTATGCCGATCATTGTTGAAGACAGCTGGTCAGCATTGACAGACTGGTTCCTTGGACCAGGCAGGTTGAAGATGGGTCCCCAGCTCGCAGATCTCAGGCCTCCAAAGTAGTAGCCAAGGTTCTCCGACGGCACACTGACAGCTGCACCTTCAGTAACATATCGGGTAATTCCAGAGTCCAAGGTATTCAGGATATAACCTTTGTTGAAGGATTTTGGCGGGCCGGAAGGGTATACCTGATAAGCAGCAACGGCATTGGAGGAAGGTGCCTTGAAAGCATCAGTCAATGCCAACTCTCCTCCGTATGTGAACCATTCGTAGTCATTTGCAAACATCGCTCCACTATAGTAATTTGGGGCAATATTATTCGCCGCTCCTCCACCTGAGGCTTTCGAGAGAGTATCGAAAACCGCGCTCAAGTTCTGCGAAGTGTTGAAAGGAGTACCGAAGTTGAAAAGATACACCAGTCCCAGTGGATTACCTTGGAATAGTTAATAACTCGTACGCAATCCGACAATGAGCCGATGCCATACCATCAGACGTAGCGCTTCCATATGATCCATCGGAAAGCCCAGGAGTCCACCACAGGTAACCTCCATCAATATAGAGCGTATCTCGAACAACTGCAGCTGTTGATCTTTAGCATTTGATTCTCCTTTTCATGGTAGCTAAGGGATGATACCTCGTGGAGATCGCCATTGACACATAGTCGTGTTGACCTGGCCATTCTGCCACCCTGCAGCCTGCCCCACGCATAGTCGTACAAAACACTCGGTAATGATTAGCGAAAGCTGAAGTTTAAACATTATAACTTATAAGACCAAAGTTCCCAGGACTCGATTAGGGTGGCCGTCTGACTCTGGAAATGAAGAAGCTCCGCTCATTGCATGGATTATCGTGAGTGACTGCATAGAATAAACCGAATTTTTCCATCTCTCCATCTCTCAATCTTTCCATTGTTCCAACTTCCCAGCTGTAGATGACCAGTAAAAATGCGTGATCATGATCGCCACTCTTTGCCAAGTCAGAATGGTGCATCTTGATGTACTGCGAAAGGACTGGGCCGCACACCTTCAAAGGCTGGAATGTGGTTACCGAAGTTCTCGAAGATCGGCTACCGCATCCAGCGGGTCAAGTCGCTCAGGTTCTTTGATAGAATATCTCCGGGATCACTTGACCGTGAGGAAGAGGAGGGTGGATGGACGCCTGCAGTTGCAGTCAAATTTGTATTTGCATTTATACCCATAGCCGAACATAGAGCCATGGGACGGTCACCTGTGAGAGCATGCTTGGTTGGGGGCGTTCCAGCTGTAGTAGATTTGAGGAAAGATCCAGCCTCGCAGATTGATGTAATATGAATGCGTGATCAAGCGAGTCATTGTTGTCGTTGACGTTGATGGCGCGCTGCATGCGATTTAATTCTTTGTCTTGTCACTCGGCATTGGGGGTGGTGGTGGTGGTGGTGGTGATGAGCAGCACTACCGGTACCGTAAGCGATGATTATTTGCAGAAACGAGGAGGTTCGTGGCCCAGAGATTCGACGAGTCCGGTCCGAATTGGCTCCACTGTTTCCCGTGACAGCACGTGCATCTTCAATACTCGAGTATTCACTCCATGCATGCATGCATCTATCTATCTATTTACCTATCGATCAACCATCCTCTCATATCTCATCGCCCAAGCAGTTCGAATCATGAGTTGCTGTACAGTTATCACTTTCATCTTCACTATATATACAATATATTTACACACATCTATTCAGAGCTTGATCGGCCCGTGCGCATATACGCAGCGTGGCCAGGCTTCATATGGTTGACTACTTTCCATTTCGACCTGCTTTTGACGACGTTGCATGCAGCCACGCATAATTGGCCCCTTGTACTGTTCCTCGTCGAAAGCAGTTGCCTGCGAGTAAAGAGAATCCCGTTTGGCACCATGTGCTTGCTAGGGCTCTGCTCCATAGGTAGTGAGGTTGGTAGCTCTTTTCTGCTTTGAGAAATGCGAGTGCGCAATGCGGACAATACTCTCTTTCTTCCCAGCTTTTTCTTTGTACGTCAGCCTCCTGAGGTCGATTTTTGTCTATTATCGAACATCTCATCAAACCTTGAATCATCAAGGATCCGGAAGTCTGCAAGTCTGCAAGTCTCTCGTCAATTGGGCGCCTGTTTCTCGTGATAAATTCTCCGCCTCATGTAGCGGTCTTCTGTCACCCTCTTTTTGACTTCACAATATCGTGCAATTAAACCCGTCGTTTTCGACAGCTGGCGAATTGATCCAACATGGTTTCAAGCAGGAAGTTATGGGCACTAATTGGCTTGCTGGGGATCGCAAACGCTCAAGTTCAGTTTCCTGATACCACATCAACAACCGCGCCGACAGACGGGGCATTGGCAAAGGCCAAACCCAAGCCTACGACTTCGATGCGCATTGATAAACCGTCGCCATCGAGGCCCGGCGACTGTCAAGCATCAACTGTTACAGTTCCCGCTCCGTGCTACCCCATGGATTGCTACCCGACTACTATCACAAAAACAAAAACTCGCTATGTCACACTGCCTGCGTATGCTTAAACCCTCTGCCTAATCTACCTTACTAATGATAGTCTCAGTTCAACGTCAGTCTCAATATTAACATCAGTCTCAACGAAAACCGCATAGTAAGTCGTCGATTGCTCTAGGGCTACAGAACGACTCACATGTGTCCAGCGTTTCCACAACCGAGAAAAAGTACAGCACCGAGAAGGAGACAGAAAAAGACACGGAAACTTCTGTCACTACTACCACTTCGGCGGACGCTGCAACGTAAGCATCCGAAATTTCCAAGGGATAGCTTGCGTTGAATTTATATGGGGGGAAACCATAGGTGCTGGACTGTGCTGAGATATCGAAACAGGGCCACGACTGCAGCACTAGCATACACAACGCAGTTCATTTATTCAGTAGGCAGTAATTTTTTAGTGTACAGGCTGTCGCTAATAATGTGTAGTCCTATCCGTACAATGTCACAATTATGAATTCCTACGGGTAAGTTTCAGACCCAGTCCACACCCAGTCCACTTTCTGGCAACCTGCTGACAGTCCCGAAGTTATCCAGTCGTTAGAACGGAATGGAGTACTACTACAGCCACTGTTGTGTCAAGCTACGTTAAAGCTGTAAGTCGGACTCCGGAATCACTGTATCGCTGGCGGACTGTCAGTTCTATAAGTACGCGAAATGGGAATATATGCTTTGCCAGTGCAATTGCAGGTGACTGTTTCTCATCGAGCCTGTAACCACTTGTTCGGGCGTCCTGTTATATGACCCTTGAAAGTAAATCGGATCTTCTCGCCTACTTGCCGAAGTTCAACCTCGGAACAAAAATTGTTATGCTCCCTCCAAACTCGAAGTCCCTGTTTTCAACGCACGGTGCGGCTGACACTTCTATTAGATCCCGAATACTGTAGAAATAATCGTACCGACAACGACAACGCTAGTCAGCACGGAGTTCCAGCCAAGTGAGCTTGAAGGTCTCGACATATATCGGCCTTACGCTAGGCTTGCGGTAGCGACAGTGATATCAACATACACATACCTCACTAGCTATCCAGCTGCGGTAATTTCGTCTGCTACATCATATATATATGTGCCAATAACTGAGATCTCGACGTACACGGCCAGGTTCGTATTCCAAACCCTCATCTATCCGAGCCGAGTTCCTCGAGTCTAGGTCAATACGATTGAGATCTGGACTTGGCTAATATGCACAGTGTCACCGGTACTGAGATATTGTCCTCCACGGCCAATTTGCCGACTACGGTAGGATTCAATACGAAGAGGATTTGGGCAGAGCTGACGTGTGCTAGATTGCAGAGACGTCCATTTCGGTGTCGCTTTCTGTGTCGACTTACGAGACCACTTCTACTTATATAGTGTAAGAATTGTCCTGGATTCCTTTCATCGTGCTACCGGAGCTTACTCGGTCCTTGAACTTTGCACAGCCCTGTTCACATTGTGATGTGACGAATGCTGACTCTCTCTAGATCATACCCCGTAACTGTTATTAGCTCGACTACTATATTCAGCTACAATACTGCTAGTTAGTCATTCCATTATCTGAAATGCAAACCGTACTAAGCTCTGGAAGCTACTACCATAACCCAGCTGTCCCTGGTGACCGACACATCTTATGTAACGGATTCAACGAGTATGTGTCTCTCCTTCACTGTCATACCAGCCCAAGGCTAACTCTTTCTAGCAACAACTTCAACTAGTGGTGAGCCTTGAAGTCTAGTAATCGGATGTAAAATAAGGCTAATTCTCCAGTCTCCACACTATCCTTCACGACCACGTCAACCCTTCCGGCTTCGACCGTGACTACATCGATTTCTGGGAGCCTCACAACGATAACGCTGCCTGCTAGCACGACGATAACCACGTAAGTCCTTGTGTCAGAAAGATTTGTGGTGTCCTCATGCCTGTCTGTTCTCAAGCGCCCTGGACCTTGGGATAATTTCCCGCCGATTTCCGTATGCCGTCCGAAGAATAGTACAGGACGTTGTTGGCTGACTGGAAGGCCTTTTCACAGGTTTATATCGCTGATCACGAGCTTCACCACTTTGCCTGGGGAAATTACAACTTTACCGGGCCAAATCACCACACTCCTGGCTTCAACCATAACGCTACCGGCTCAGACAACTACACTTTCGGGCCAAATAACCACACTGCCTGCCTCAACCATCACCTTGCCTGGTCAAATCACAACTCTACCAGGTGCAATTATTAGCTTCACCGCCTCAGGCGAAATCACAACATTACCGGGGCAGATAACGACTTTGGCTGGCTCAGTCAGTACCCGGACATTACCTGGTCTTGTAACGACCCTTGCTGGAACCGTTTGTACAATTCTAGGGCCGGTAAGCTTTGTTTCTCATCTCCGAAAACCTGGAGATTGGAATCAAATGTGCTGACGTATTTGTCCGTGCAAGTACCCAACTATCACCATTTCAGGTGCCACATCTGTTTCTATGTCGAAGCTTCCTGAACATGTAACGACTCTTTCCGGCCAAATTGTGACTTTACCCGGGGCCACCTCCTTGTCCACAATCCCAGGAATTGTCTCGACGATCGCGGGCCCTCCTGGACCAACACTGACCTTACCTCCAGTTCTCAGCACAACACTAATCCCTGGATCGACTATTATAAATCCTGGGCCATCTGTAACGGCAAGTAGTTTAGTCATTTGCCCAAAGCCTACAAACCTTCCAGGCGTGGCTGTAACTCCACAAGACAAAGGACCAAATGCGCTGTGGGGCTGTTCTCCAGGCTACGTTTGTAACGTCCCGAAGCCAGCTGGCTGTGACATTTTCGCTGATCCGCCTGACTACGACTATCTCTGCGATGCTAAATACTGTATCCCAAGCCCTTTATTCCCTGTGGTGACCTGGCCGAAAGGAGAAACGGCATACTATCCACTAACAGAGGGTTACTTCAACCTCAACCCGCAGGCCTTCGGACTCGATTTCACAATTTTTGTAACGAACGTGGTAGTTATCACGGTAGCCGGGAAATACGGAAATCTGGAAACGATCACGGAAGCCGGCCAATACAGCTCGCAAGTAAGTCTCTCTCGCTTCGAATCGACTTCAACTCCCACTTTCACTGTGGGTTTAAAGTCTTCAGCCTACACACCGATAAATTCCGCCCACGCGCACTGGAAGAAATCTCGCGAAGAACACGTCCAAGCCAGAGAGGCGTGGGTCCAAGCCCGCGACACCCTTCATCTACTCAAGCGAGACGCTTCCGTTGCCCCCGCTGTTTGTTTCGCGCAATGCAACAACTGCTACATCGAAGCGCAATCCGTTGGCAAGTCCCCTGCCCTCTGCGCCGCCGACTCCGCTTTCCGCTCCTACTACGAAGGCTGCCAGTCCTGCGTCGCATCCAACTCGGCCACCCCTGAAGAATCTCTTGCGGTGTATGTCGAGCCAAAATTTGCGGAATTCACGGGTTACTGTGACGCGCAAGCTCCTCCCATTCCTGTATTAGATGGCTCGTTCACGAGTACGGTGCCCGTCACACGAACGGAAACTCCGTTACCGGTCACAGTGAGTGTGGTTGTGAGTCCAGAGACGGCGCAGACTCCTACGTTATCTGTGGGAATTACGAGTCGGGTACCGGTTAATAGTGGCACGGCTTCTACCCAAACCTCTACCTCCACACCTCCTCTTGCATCCCTAAGCTCAGCATCAAGTGGCCCAGAGACATCGCCCAGCACGACACGCAGCCCGCCACTAACGACTTTCGGACCTGAACCGGTGCCTGGGGCAGCTAGCGATTCACGGCCACCCTCTCTCGGTTTCCTCATCTCGATTCTCCTTTCCTCCGTGCTCGCTCTTCTCGTGTAGTCGCAGGTGTGCTTCGATTTTCTTCTCGTCGCGTATGTGGTTCCCGGATGGCTTTATAGGCTCCCACTCATGACACCCACGATCCTTGTGAGCTAGAACAGCATCATATCCCACTGTCTTTACGGAAGCATATACGAGATAGAGAGGGCGATCCTGGAAGAGGGAGAGGTAGACCCATACTCCCTACGGAACGGCGTTTGCGGGACTAGGAGCTGCTGGGAATGGGAACAGTTTGGTTTGTCCGTACGAAGGGGAATTCTGGGCTGGAAGGTGTGAAGGACTTGGCTTTAATTTTGATACTGCTATCACTATAGGTACAGGCGGCTGCTATCGAGATGGCTTACATTTTATATCACCAAACTTGGTATATTTTGGCTGCGGGACTGACTTCAGGTTCACGCTGGTCCGAAGTCCTCACGCGATCCGAGCCCTTGAAGCTAGACTGTATGTAGACTTCAGGGCCCCAAAAATCAAATCTCCCATCTGTTATACCGGTAATTTATCTGCCTTGGGGGATGTCGATATAGCGAGCTGCATATATATTATCCGCTTCGAGAACCACCATGGCCGTAATTTCATTAAGTCAATTTCCAAATGCTATCAGGAAATATCATTTGATAGTGATGCCAATCGTCTTTATGCAACGAATTGCCTACTGCAGGCTTTCCCGATACTGGGGAATCTAGTATCTCTACGTACAGAGTGTACCGGTACCTAGTTTTGCCTAACTACTACCTACTGGAAATAAGAACCTGGAGCCAGCGAATGGGAAAGATTCATTGGTTGACTACTGTTTTACCTTAGGTTCGCCAAGAATGCCGTGGCGGGCTTTAGGCAGTAGGGCTGGCAATCGAATCCCCACCAAGCATCACGCCAGATCGCTACCTCGTTAACTTCGTAACTTTGTCGACTTTTTCACAGCACTGTCCGAATATCCTCACACCGGTATGCCGCGTCTGAGGAAGTACGCCTTTCGGGCGACTTGTATTTTTATGGTGATATGTCTCTATTTCATGTATATGCGCCCCGGGTCGGGCAGGTCGGCGCTGCAGCCTGCGGGGCGGCGTGGGGGCGGCGGGTCTCAGGGCGTTCTGGACACTATCAACATGTTTATTGGGACCACGAACGGAGGTGAGATCTCGTCCACTGCCTGGCTCTCCCATTGCAATACACGATATCCTTCTTCTACATGATATCCTTCCTCTACACGTGCTGACATGTATGCGGCGGGCAGGCCATGCGTTTCCAGGGGCGTCGCTGCCATACGGTAGGGATATATATCTTCCGGGCCTTTTCCTTTTCACTTGAGGAATCCAGCTGATGGAAGCAGGAATGGCAAAGGCCTCGGCCGATTGTGTTGGTGAAGCGGAGGGAGGATTTGCCTCGGACGGAAGTGACATCGCGGGATTTAGTCACATGGTCAGATGAATCCAGCACCCAAAACTTCGTCACGGAATCTTGAGCTGACTTCCTGCCCAGCATGACTCGGGAACTGGCGGGGTGAGTAGGACGGACTATCGGAATCGAGCAATGTTTGCTGACAGCAGCTCAAGTCTGTTTCCTTGGGAAACTTCCCCATCTTCCCCCAGTATTGTGAGAATAACGATGTCTCGAAGTGCAAGTTTACCAAAAAGCAGCGCCTCGTCCCTCGTGGCGAATTCGATGCGTCCCCGGGCTACTTCGATATCACCCTGGCTGATGGCATACGAGGCGAGGCGACTGTTACGGCTCACACGGCATTATACCGGTTCACTTTCCCTAAGAACGTGTCTTCGACTGGAGAGCTTCTTCGGCCTGTCATCACTCTCGACTTGAATAACTTGGATAACAAGCGAAGTGGACCCGGAAGTCTATCGATTGACGCAAAGACTGGCCAGATATCTGGAAGCGGGATCTTTCTACCGAGTTTTGGTACTGGCCAGTACGAGCTGCACTTCTGCATGGACTTCAGCAGTGCTTCCAGGGCGGAAACTGACATATGGGAAGGCCTCGGCTCGCTCGTGAATAAAACGCAAGTGGAGTTCACCGGATATGCCGGCGGTGGTACAATTTCGAAATTTCAACCTCCAGGGAGCGATTACGTGATGGCCCGTGTCGGCCTCAGCTTTATAAGTCAAGCTCAAGCTTGCCAGAATGCCGAGTCCGAGATTCCCAATTTTGACTTCGAGAAGGTGAGAAAGGCCGCCAGGAAGGAGTGGGAAAAGAAATTCGATGTCATCAAGATCGCGCCAGGTGGGATCGACAAGGACTTGGAGGTCATCTTCTGGAGTGGCTTCTACCGGACGATGTTGAGCCCCCAGGATTACACGGGCGAGAATCCTCTCTGGAATTCCACGGAGCCGTACTTCGATAGCTTCTACTGTATCTGGGACTCCTTCCGGTCTCAACATCCGTTTCTAACGCTGGTGGACCCCGACGAGCAGTCAAGAATGGTGCGGGCTTTGATCGATATCTGGAAGTTCGAAGGAAAGCTACCGGACTGCCGCATGAGTCTTTGCCAGGGGCTTACTCAAGGCGGATCGAATGCCGACGTCGTCATTGCCGATGCGTATGTGAAGAAGCTGGGCGGCCCTATCGATTGGGACTTGGCTTATCGCGCAGTCGTCTCAGACGCCGAAGACGAGCTTGATAGGTGGGACACCGCAGGCAGAGGGGGCTTGAACAGCTGGAAGTCTTTGGGCTACCTTCCTGTCAACGATAAGAATGATCGTGGGCAGGGATTGAAAACTCGCACCGTTTCGAGGACAGTCGAGTTCGCCTACAACGACTTCTGCATTGCCGCCATGGCCCAGGGCTTGAACCATGGAGTAGACCAGAAAAAGTATCTTCGAAGAGCCAGCAATTGGAAAAATCTGTTTAAAGCCGACCAGAATTCATCTATTAATGGTGTAGACACGGGATTTATGGGGTTCTTGCAGCCACGGTACGTCATTTCCTGTTCTAGATCTGTGCATGCTGACCCCAGGGCAGCGAGGCGGATGGGACTTGGGTATTTCAAAACCCCATCAAATGTTCCCCGCTTATGGATCCGCTCTCCTGCTTTCTCGATAGCGGCGGGGGCGCGACCTACGAGGGTGCTTGCTGGCTCTACACCTTCTTCGCGCCACAGGATATGGCCGCACTCATCTCTTTACTCGGCGGACCCGAGCGGTTTACAGAACGCCTGAACTTCCTCCACGAAAGTGGCCTGTCGTATATGGGTGACGAGCAGGCTTTTTTGACGGTTTTCCTCTACCATTATGCCGGCCGACCTGGACTCAGCTCCAAGCGCGCCCATTCGTACATTCCGAGCGAGTTCAACAACACTATCAATGGCATCCCGGGAAATGATGACTCGGGAGCCATGGGCTCCTTCGTCACCCTGACCATGATGGGTGTCTTCCCCAACCCAGGTCAGGACGTCTACTTCATCACGCCTCCCTTCTTCCAGGAGATCAGCCTCTTGAATCGACAGACAGGCAAGACGGCAACAATCCGGAATATCAACTTCGATCCAGAATACAAAAATATCTACGTCCAGACTGCGACGCGAGATGGGGTCGCCTGGACCAAGAACTGGATCGATCACGGCTTCTTTCTTGAGGGAGGGGTCCTTGAGTTGACGTTGGGTCCCGAGGAGAGCGAGTGGGGCACGAAGGAGGAAGATCTGCCGCCGAGTATGAGCACGACATGATTCCCCGCGATCTAATCAGATGTATAAGGAATACCCGAAAATTTGGATGTCAGCTTGGATACTCTTTTCAACCAAGCCTAGACTGTAAAATCATATGAATGCTTTCCTACCTCGTCTCTGATGTCGAAACTGGAGGTGCAGAAAACCGCTGTCTCTCGTTCATTTCAAGACTACTGCACCCAAGATTGCTCCTGTCGCTACGTATCAATGGTAACGATATCGGAATCTATTAGTATACTGCTATTAACGGAGTTGCGAAAGCGGAGTTGGAAATCAAGAAGTTGGAGATGTGGGGGAAGTCAACAAGGTTTTTGCGCCTTGGGCAGACAGCACTCTGATATTCGGGATACCACGCTGTTCCGCGCCGCGATTTACGTACTAGTAGCCTCTTGGCCCACCGGTACTTATTCTGCTAAACATAGGTAAACAACGTCACCACAAGTCCCTTACGGCAATATCCCCTGTTACAAGCAAACGAAAAAAAAAAAGAGAAAAAGAAAAAAAATAAAACCTTATCTTACTAGTTGAAGCGATGTACGTACTACGGTAAGTAGGTATCTGGTAGTTCCGTTCCCGCTCTGCCGAGCCCAGCCGCGACTAGCCGCGGTCTCGCTCATCGCCTAGCCCCCAATTCCCGTCCACTCGATTGCCGATTCCTATCCTCCCTTTGTCACGACTGACGACGGAGATCTCACCCTGCTTATCTCTGTTCTCTGTTCTCTGTTCACTGTTCTCTGTTCTCTGTTTTCTTTCTCTCTCTTTCATGCCCGCCCAGACAGCTACCGTTCGAAAAGAGAAGAGAAGAGAAGAGAAGAGAATCTCGAGTGTTTTCTTATTTCCCGTCTTTCCCCCTCTTATCTCTCTCTCTCGCTTCCAAAAACAAAAACAAAAAGAAGTAAGGAGGAAAGAACGAAAGTAACGAAAAGAACGAAAGTATTCGCGCGGACAGATTCCGGACGTGGCGATTGAGAAGAAAGTGTTTGGGGGTTTTTGAGTGGGATATCTACAGTCGATCGTTCGTCGGTCGGTCGGTCGGTATGTATGTACATGTCGCAGTCGCGTCTCTCTTTCTTGATCGTTACCCCCTTTTCCTTTTTTTTTTTTTTTTTTTTTTTTGATGCCCTGGGCGGGTGAAGTGTCAATTGGGGAGGGAAGGGGATGGAGGAAGGGGGAAGAAGAGAGGGTCCCCTTCGCTCGCTGAAGTTGAATCGGTACCGGTTTGTTTGTCTGTGGAGCCTTTTTTATGTGAATGTTTTTTTTTTGGTTCCAAGTGGAGAGGGTTGGATGTTCTGAATAGGAAGCAGGAGCAGAGAGAGGAGAGATGCAAGGTTTGGTATCCCGTTCGGCGGTGATTCGAGTTTCATTTTCATTTTCATTTTCATTTTCATTTTCATTTTCATTTTCATTTTCATTTTCATTTTCATTTTCATTTTCATTTTCATTTT